TGTATGCTGAAAAAAAAAAAGAAATTTTAAGAAAACTCTATGATTTATTTTTATGGGAAAAACTCATATGCTTAGATTTATATATTTAAGATGCTTGTATTCAATTAAATTAAGACATGTGGATCTTTTATAGATTATTTTTCTATAATAAATTCTTGTTATTAATTAAATTAATACATTAAAATTCACGTATCATGATTTGATTTGATATAAGTATATTAAGTATATAAAGTTAACTACATACTCCCTCTGTTAAAAAATGTAAGGCATTTTTAACTGAATTTTACTCCCAATAAAATAGTTACCTACTTTTTTAACTAATTTTATCTTTTCATATTTACCCATATTAAATACTGTACAATAAATATAGATTTGTTTCATCAATAGGGTCACTTTTAAAAAAAGATAATAATTACACCCCGAAAGACTAAAAATGCCTTACATTTTTAAATATACAACTCTTAAAAAAATACCTTTATTTTTGAATGGAGGGAGTAAGTCTTGCCCTATTTTTATTTCCAAATGAAATGTGTAGAAGTCACAAAAGTAGAGGTTGTTATTAGTGTTGTGGTTTGTAAACTAAATGCCCTTCTGGTCTAAAATATAAATATTTTTTTTAACTAATCTTAATTCAAAATACAAGTAACTTAGTATATTCAAAATTTTTCTCTTAATTTACTCTTTTATTTATTAACTTAGATCCTCTTATAAATTTATCTTTCATTTATCATGAGGTATATTGATAATTGGGATTAAAATTAAAAAAAAAAGAAAAAACAATACATAATTTTTATAAAAACAAAGACTTTATTGATATGTAATGTTTTAAAAAAATACTTATATTTTTCATCAAAGGAAGTAAGTACTAAGATGTGCTAGATGCCAAAGTTCCACATCAAATATTGCAAAAAGCTTTATAAACACCATCCAACGTCATATAGGGAAATGGGACTTTGAAGGGAAAAAGTAGAGTTGAATATTAAATAAATCATTAATAATTGACATCAAAAAGAAAACTGTGGCAGGCAGCCTTTACATATAAAAAAGAAAAATCCGATCAATAGTTTTGAGAGATAATCATTTTCCTACCTAAGAAACAAATCCAACGCCACAAAAAATATTGACTTTCATATCATCCTCACCGTCTATATTTAGATCTACACACAATAGAAAATTTTTAACCAGTCTCAATGCTTATTTATTTAAAAAATAAATAAATTGGCACATGACTTGTCTGGATGGCACCAGAAGCTTTAATAACTCCCAGTCCTAGGGAGGCTTCCAGCCCCACGCTCCGACACATCTCGCGTCATCATTTGTCCCCTCCTTTCTTTAATATTATTATTCTTATACGGGTGTGCGCATTATAACTAATTAGTCATGGTTGCGTATTGAGAAATTCCTATGAATCTGTACACTGGGGATGTTCATCGATCGTGTCTCATCCTCACAAAAGATTGAGATTAAACTTTTATGTCATATTTTATCTTGTTTTCAAAATCCATCCCGTTAAAAATTAAGATAAGATTGAAAATAGAACAGAACATCTGCCATCCTAATAAATTATATAATTTTTAAAAAATTAGGTAATAATATTAATTAAAATTTTAAATCATATAATTATTTAAGTTTAAAATTAAAATAACACAAATACATAAATCACACTAATTTAAAGTTAATTATTAAAATTATATAAATTATAAGTAATTTCTAAGCTATAAGAGAAGTAACAACAGGCAAGTCAAGCATAATATCAAATTATTGTTCTCCTATTTTAATTGAGATGTACTAACTAATTACTCTTCTAAAAATAAAATAAAAAATATGATATAAATAAAAGTGATCAAATAGTTAAATATAAGAATAAACTGTATTAATATAATTAAGATATTAAAAAAAATATCGCCTTGTTTACTCTTTGTTATTAAAATTATCACTATAAAAAACTTTAGTTTTATATAAAAATTGCAAGTATTGAAATTATAATTGATATAATTAATATAAATATAGATTATATTAATATAATTAATATATTTAATGTATATTTTAAAAATAAAAAATAATATATATAATATTCGAGACGGGATAGGACATTCGGATGGTGATCCTGTTTCCCATCCTGTTTCGAACCCATTTCTCATTCCGTCCCAAAAACCCTATCCGATTGTTTTTAAACCAAGACAAAATCCATTTTAATATAATCAAAATGATATTAGACTAATTAAGATGAATATAAGCTGAATGCTTGCACTGTATCATTTATATTTTATTCAATAAAAGCAAACCATGCTAAAATGAGAAAGAAAGAGGGTAAGATATGGAAAGCACAGGACACAAAACAAGCAAAGGCCTTACACGTTTCCACTACATCTAAATAACGGTTGCCTTTCCTTCCTACCCACTTCTCCAACCAAACCTTCCACCGCCTTCTTCTTCTTCTCTTTTCTTTTTCTTTTTTTTTTTTTAGTCTCTCATCATTTAACTTCAAGCATCGCCTTTTTATTTAAATATTGAAAAGGGGTTACTCTTTTCATCCCTCATTTTATTTGTTTTCCTCTATCTGCATAATTTATATATAAATATCCTTCCCGGCTTTTCCCAGGCATTTAAAAAGAGTTATATGCGAGTAGAACTATTTCAATTAAATATAAGCATATTAAATACTTATATATAAGCAAAAATAATCGTTTCACGATGTCTAAAAAAAATTAGTTATTTCTCTTAATTATGTGAGATTGAATTTTTACCCTGTAATGCCATTTTTTTTCAGTGAAACTGAATGTGTGTCTGTGTGTGTATAACTAACTCAAACTGAGTATAACGCCAAAATACAAAGAAACTCAAGGAGAAAAAACTAAGAACCATATCTTTAGCCAACTACTTCCATTATAAAAAGGTGTTTTTTTTTTTTTTTATCAAAGATATACAGAGCATTATCAAAGAATGACAAGATTTAGCTAAAGAGTGTGTCATATGGTTGGCCTCCCATCTTTAATATTCTGAGGCCTTAATTTATTTTGCTTCAACCAAACTGGCTAGTTAGCCCAGAAAATTTTTGAAAATAAGAAGTAGTTAAAACTAATATAAGATTATTAGTAGTTCAATTGATTGAGATTGATCATGTGTTTTTTTTTTTGGGGGAAAATTTTGTAATATTTCTATTATAATCCATATTTTTAAATTAAGCTACGATTTGTTCATATACTTATACCAAACAAGCACAGAGAAACTAAAATTTGATGGGAAAATGAACAAGTAACACACACATTTAAAATTATAAAATATTTTATACACTATATACACGTCCAGGTTCTTATATTATTTTTTTTTCCAAATCATAAAATATGTATTAACTTTTTAATTAATCCTTTTCATTTATCTTTACTCACATTATTTTTAAATTTCATCATAATTGAAGTCAATTTTTCTATTTTATTATTTTATATCTTTGTTGCTAAAATATCTGGTTTAAAGTGAAATATATTAATTTAATTGCAAACATTTTAACCATGATTGATTCGCTGATTCTTGAACCGATATTTCAATTGATTTAATTGTAATTCTAGTTCTTTTTTTTTTTTTTGTAATTCTAGCTCTTAATACAATACATTTGAGAACTAATTGAGCAATGAGGTAAAATAATTATTCAAATATACGTGGTACTAATTCCTTATATCGGTCGACATACAATCTACGTACATTCTCTTTTTAATTATTTTTTGCCTCATAAAAACTAAATTTTCATAATGTGTATTTTCTCATTTGTAAGATTGGAATTTAAAATATTATTTAAGTCCTAGAGTTTTTTCATAACAAAAAGTTTAAGTGAGTTGGTTTGGAATTAAAAACTAGATTTTTTTTGTTGAATGCTAACCATGAAATTGAGATTAAAAGTTAACAAAATTCTATTCCATGTTAAACAATGCAAAGCACAAAAATGAAGCAAAAAATAATACTACTTGGCATTTTGTTTGTGTACCCTGTTTGGTACGTAGACCTAAATTTAGAGAGATTGGGATTAATATTAGAGCTCTAAAATTATATTTGGTGTGGAGTAATAATTAAAAATAATACTTTATTTTATTTTATTTTTTTACAATTAAATATAATTTATGAAAAAATTATAATACCCCTTATTAATAAAAAAAATTGTCCCAAACCTATCTTTGTCGTGGACTCACAAGTCATCTCCTCACTCAATTCCCATCTTCAGTTCGAACTCAACCTTCCTCCTATCTTCTCTGACTATGATTTTCATTCTATCATTCAAGAGTTTATATCGCTTGAATTGAAGAAGAAGAAGAAGAAGGATCTGAAAGCAAACAGTAGTGATGGAGATTGTCCAATGACTTAGAACCAAATTTGGAATCTCTTGAATTGATGACAAAGATGAGCGATTTGGGAGCAAACGTAGCAGCAAACCTCGTGTGACGACTTGTTCTCTGATCCGGACTCTCTCAAACTAAGAAAGACAATGATGAAATCTAGAGTTTTGAATTGACATTGATGATAACACTGAACTGGGTTTGAAGATGAAGGCGAAGGATTTGGACACTCTCGAACCAATAACAGAAGAAGATGCTGCTAAACTGTCACCAATGATGTCGCTAAACTATCACTGACGATGTTGGATCTAAAAGAAGATGAAGTGTGCTAGAGGCAAAGGTAAGGGCATTTTTGTCTACATGAAAATTAATGTCAAGATTGATTTTGCAATGTCAAGGAAAGGTAGTATTGAATAATACCACCAAAGTGAGATTAGGATTGGAATTAAAATCTTTATTTTCATGTACCAAATACAAAAATTTAGGATTAATTAATCTCAATTTCAGTCCTACTCTCTCATTCTTTTCATACCAAATATGATCTAAAGTTACAACAAAAGAGGAACCCAGAAAAAAAGTCCCACGTGCACGCCAAATTATGCTTGGAGGGCATTGCCGTCCTTTCACCTTAGATTCTGTATATATACGAAATGGAAGGTCGGTTTTGGTATGTGGATTTGAAGTGAAAATTTGTTCCAGGAATTACTCTGCTCACACTCGACAAAGCACTGGCCGAAGCAGAAAGTGGCAACGAAAAAACACGAACCGAGGTTGTTGGCAAAGATACAGACGCAAAAAGTGTTGGTTCGTGTCTTTCTCTCTTTGTTTTTACTCAATTTATAGTCTTATGGTGTCCGTGAACCCAAATCCAGCTCAAGGTTTTTACTTCTTCGATCCCATGAATACGGGCCTTCCCGGTCTCAATCGCCCTGTGCCGCCCCCGACGGCGACTTCGGCCGTTGCCTATACGCCGCCGTATGCGGATGATCCGAATAAGAAGATCCGAAAACCGTATACTATTACTAAGTCCAGAGAGAACTGGTCCGAGCAGGAGCACGACAAATTTCTCGAAGCTCTCCAATTGTAAGTTCTTTTTTGTTCTTCTTTTCTTGGTTCATCTGTTTTTGCTGTTGAAATTTTCCTTCTTGTTCTTTTTGTATTTGTTTTTCTCTTGGTATGACTTAGAGGAATTTGATAGTTTTGTCCTTCAAAGTTTTAGAACCTTCTAAAATGGATTCAAATTAGCGAGACACCGAGACAATAAGTCGGTGTAGTCTCATGGGTTAAGTTCTATGTTAGCTTTTTTTTTAAAAAAAATCCTGTTCTAATAACTCTGAATTTCGAGTATTGGGATTGCTCGAGTCTTCTCAACGGTTAAATGCGATATTTTTTTTGTTCATTTTTAAGTAGAAGTTGTCAAAATCTTTTACTTGTTTTCCCCTTATTTTTCTCTGTTGTGCGGTTTGGGTATTGTGATTATCCTTCATATTCTGGAGCTTCGAACCTAGATTTGTTATTGACCTGAGGGTACAAGAATTATACTTCTGGAGAAGTAGATGCCTCTCTCTATATCTCTGTTTCTTATTATGCTCAAAGAAGTGTAAGATTAGTTTCATTTTTGGTTTAGGGGAACTCAGGCTGGTTGAATAATGAAGGATTTAACTTCCAGTATTGGCTTAAGATCGTCGCAAGAGTACACGTGAGCATTCCCATAGTTATGAGAAATTCAAAGTAACTGAAACAACGGGAAAGTCAAAAGAAGCATTCAATTTAGATCGAGTTGAGGAATTACTGTTTGGGAGTTGGGACATATATAGTTATGAGCCAATGTAGAGTCATTGACATCAGTTAGTCTGTTCAGTGTCTCCCTTAAGCATTGTCTTCCAGAGTCAAAAATTACCCCCTTTTTTATCAGTTGCACTAAACTTCTGCCTCTTGGGCAAATGATTGTAGGATACCTTCTTCTTTATTTTGTTTGATTGATTATGTATGTTCGTTTCTTTTGATTGGCATCAGATTTGATCGTGATTGGAAGAAGATTGAAGCATTTGTTGGGTCAAAAACTGTTATCCAGGTAATTAGACACTTCTGGTTTCTGTAGAACTTTTGAATATATATATATATATATACATATTACCTTTCTGGGTTTTTTCTCATTACAATGTGGTCATTTTAGTATTTGTTACATCTTCCTCTAGGTACTCCTCCTTTATCTTTGAAAGAAGTCATCCTGTTTTTGGGCCACAGATCTTTGGAAGAACATCGGAATTCAATATTTGCTCCATTTTACTGTTGGCAGATAAGAAGTCATGCGCAGAAGTATTTTCTAAAAGTTCAGAAGAATGGCACTAGTGAACATGTGCCTCCTCCCCGACCAAAGAGAAAAGCTGCTCATCCTTATCCACAAAAGGCCCCTAAAAATGGTTAGCATAGTAACATAATTCACATGTCTATTTTTAGACTAATGCACCAGTTTTTGAATAACTCTTGGTTTTTCTTTTGCTATTTATTAGCTGCATTGGCATCTCAAGGTATCGGACCAATGCAATCATCATCTGCTTTTGCTGAGCCTGCATGCATTTATAGACCAGATTCATCATCCGTGCTCGGAACACCAGTTACCAATGTGCCTTTGTCATCTTTGAACTGCAATGCTATGCCGCCTGTCAGCATGCCACAAGTGGCTAAAGGTTTTGATTTATTTGTCCTTAATATTTCTTTTTATTGAAAACATCAACTTTTTATTGTTTCCTAGTACTCTGAGAAACATCAGATACCCGTGTTCCTTTTAACTGAGTAAATTGCTTGTTAGATGATATGGGATTGGCTGGACAAGCTGTTCCTCGTAATTGTTGCTATAGCAGTAGTAATGAGAGCACTCCTGGTGTTTGGCCCGATAATAGAAGTATAGATCAAGCAGACCAAGGCAAGCCAGTAACTGGTGAGGCTACTTTGTCTCCAATTGCGTATTCTTGGGCTTGAATTTGGCATAATGGCACTAACACGAAGTCGCAAATTTGACAGTTAGATCTTCTGACAAACTTTGAAGAATGCAGTGCTTTGGATTGAACTTGGCGTAATTGGGTTATCAGAATTTTGACAATTAGATTATATGATAAACTTTGAGAATTTGAGGTTTATATTTCCATTTAACCATATTAATTTATTGATATTTTTCATTTACCCTGCTGCTGTTGTGGCGCATAGAATATTGGGAGGTTTTTCTTATATCTAAGTCCACCGATACTCTACTCCATGGCCAAAGCTTGGAATATGAAAATTCTGTTGGAAAAGAATGAGATGCATTTTTTGTACTCATGGGTTGCACGTAGATTTGCAAGAAAAATGTTATTTTATAATTTAATAACACTTACTTAGCTTATAAACCTTTAATACTGGAACATATAAAGCTTTATAAACCCTCATGTCAAATTGTAGGACTGTAAATAAAGCTGCATTCACTGGTTGCTTTATCCCAATTCATTTCATTAGTTAAATGAAATATCTTGAGTATTATAACGGGCTTGTTTATTCATGAATGGCATGTCGAGAATGGTAAGGGTAGAATGAACAGAGTCAAGAACAGTTGCTTTATCTCAACTCATTTCTCTAGTGTGACTCATTTAGACAAGTTGATACAAGCATATCTTGATCTGCTTTTGATCTTACAAGCTTAGCCTATTTAGCTTGTCCAAATGAGTCAAACCAGAATTATCGGACTTTAGTTTTTCTGATTTTTTCCCTGCAATAATCTAATCCTAACCAGAGACATTTTTAGGGTTTTATGCTTGTGCCTTGAATATTTTGCTTCTACCTTAGAAGTATGTTGCTTTATAGCATTAGGTCCATAATGCTATGGTGTGCTAGGTATTAGCATGCTTTGGTTCATGATATGTTTTGTAAGTAGACTCACAATCTTTGTATCATCTGCCTAATGCAGTAATGCCAGATTTTGCACGAATCTATAAGTTCATCGGTAGTGTGTTTGATCCAAATGCAACGGATCATCTGCAGAGACTGAAAAAGATGGACCCAATAAATGTGGAAATAGTAAGTACTTTCATGCCACTCTTCTTTTTTCTTTTATTAAGAGAGCGAGGGTCCAAGATTTATATATTATCAGGCTATGTTTGAACATGATTTGAATATATGATCGGCTGTCAGATGAATTGACATGGTGCTTTTCTGCAGGTATTGCTGTTGATGAGAAACCTCACCATCAATTTAACGAGTCCTAAGTTTAAGGACCATGTAAGTTTCATTCCCAATATATTTCATGGAATAATTATACATGGTTATAGATTGATGCTAATAGTGAGATTCGTGTCTCAGGACTTATTTGGGCGTCTCAATTACTTATATATATATATATATATATATTAATTCTATTACTGCCAGTTTATACTTGCCTCACAAAATAATGCATCCTAGTCGACTAAGCGATTCCATTTCTTACAAACTTACATAAAATTATGCAGCAGAAGTTGCTTTCGTTGTATGATGTGGATGTCGGGAAGTTGAAGACTGGTAGTCTTCGCAGCAATCCCATGTCCAACAAATCTGAAAGTACTGTTCTGTCTGCTTAGAGGATGCATCGCCAGTGTGGTTTCTCCTGACCAGAGATTTGAGATTTTTTTCCTCAAAGTGCATTGGCGTTCCCTCTTCCTAATGGGTTGAGGGATTATTCGCAAAAAGGGAACAGCAAACCGGTTTTTGCTGACAACAGATGTAGATTTTAGATGCTTGCACTTAGTGTTTGTGTGTGTGTGTGTGTGTGTGTGTGTGTGTGTAAAAACGTTGCATATAAAGTTGAAGTGAGTTCGTTTGTGGTAGGAAGAAGTTTTGAGTTGTGTTGTGTGGAGGTCGTTGTGAATAGGTGATGAACATGGCTGTCCTCTGATGTTATGGCCACTGTTGGAGGCTATACTGTATAGTCTGTTGGGTGAGCTTTTTTGTGCTGTGCTTTTGTGTTTTATATGAAATATGAGCTAATAAGACAGTGATCTTATACCCTAGTTTCCATGCAATGATTCCTCTTGTTTACCCTTTTTTTTAACCTGCATGAACATGTAGTTGAGCGTTTGTGGGGCATAATCCACAAATTAGACTCTGAAGTGTTAGATAAAAAGAAATCAATTACCTAAACCTAGTCCTTGAATGAATCTGAGTTGTGACTTGATTTTGTAGGCCACAAGCGCAATTATATGTAGTGTAGCCGTGCTAGGTTAAATTACTTAATTTCAATAGTTCTATTTCATTTTAATTTGTCTACCAGTCAAAAGTTTTCATTTCGACGATCAACTATGAAAGGCAATATAAATTCATTCAGAAGATTAAGGATGAAAGTCATGACGCCACACAGATCACTCAAGGCATGTGATGCTATAATTAGCTAAACCAATAAAGTCCTAAAGTTTATCATTGAAGAGAAGTTTGAAATTTGGGAAGATAGAACTTGTGATAATTAAACTTGATGAATTATATTTCGAATGTCCACTTGAAAATATGTTTAACGTCTAATCGTGTTTTAAATATAATTACCTCAACTATGAAAATACCTAAAAATATTAAAAGTCATTAAAGTTTAAAATTTTTATAAATTTAATCCTTCTGCTTTTTAGTTTTGGCTGACGCCTTGTGATTTTTAGTTAGCACTAGTACAAACGAAACGGCTCGCGCTACATTGCTAATTATACAAACGGTTTTTGTTGCCAAAAAAAAAATCATTACCAAATTATAGGTTAGACCAGCCATTTTACATGCACACGATCCCCAAAAAGTGCAAAATAATTATTCACAAAAAGTAGTAATTAAGAGAAAAATAAGTTTGAAAAATTATTATTCTAATTTCAACCTAACAATATTCAAAGCCGAATTAGTAATATCGATTTTCATATAATCATGTCCAAAAACAGTATGATTCAGAAAGCGTTCCATCATAAATGTCAGCAGCATAGTTCAAAGGGAGGGGGGGGATTTTATTCATTGCTAAGAAAAGATCGATCAATTCAGTAAAGCCCACCTAATTTTTGGTTAAAAAAAAAAAAAGGAAACCATAAAAACATATGGCAAGAGTTGCACATCCGCATAAAAGTAAAATGAATACAATGCAAGGGATATACATCAAAGATGACAAAACACTATCTATACCCAAAACCCAAGTCCAGCTCTTGGCCATACATTCCCTGGCTCTGTCCACCAGAAAACGGGTGATGCACCAGTGGCTTCGAATTCGGCCTCATTTCCATCTCAAAAAGTCGCTGGAGTGCCGCCGGCTGGTTTCTTCCACCACCGTCAGGAGCTAAAGCAAGTAGTCAAAACCCAAGTTAGGAGCTCAGTGACTTTGAACAAATCCCGAGATTATCACTTTTTTAAGGCCAAAACTTACACAAAAGAAATAAATTACATTCAACGAAATTTCCAGATGATCATGGCCAACATTTACTCCAATCATTTTTGCCCCACAAATTGACACTCACTGCTGAGCATGAGATTAAATATGAAGAAACAACATTGAATGTTGTGAGACTTCTTTTTGAATTTGAAGGGCAGGCACTAATGGATGAGGTCACAAGCAAGCCGGTGACCTCCCACTTATATAGGAGTTTATATGCCACTAGGTTACAAAACCATTGGCCTTTTCAATACAGTTGCACAACAAGAATAAAGATTAGGTCAGGTATTTTCCACATGAAAGTGTACTAAATGGTTCATACTTCATATCAAGTGCCTTCGAATATCTCTAAAGCAAGCCAAAAAAGCATGTAATCATTACAAATCGATTACAAGCAAGACGGCACTTCATCTAGCCGGTGGCCGTACTCCACCAACTCATTAACCATCTTGGCCAGTAATGAATTAAACTTATTTGGCAACAGCAGGGTAGCATGCATTACAAACGACCAATGATGCACTGCGCTCATAATCCATGCAATCTTAGGTTTAAAAGCATGATTTGACTAAAGCTTTCCTTCTTCCCATTACAAGACAAAAGTAAAGACAAGCTGAAAGCTGATGTCACGTCTACAACAGACTTATATATGCATATGGATTATTTTTAAGAAGCATCAATAGTTTAAAATCAACCAAATAACTCAGTGGTCAGAGAATATTTTGCCTTTAACTACAATAATATGCAGAAGACAAGCATGATGCAGATGCTTTACCTGTCATTGACATTCCAGGTCCACCGAAATGTTGCTGGTGACCACTAAATGGGAAGCCCTGCATAGGGTGCGGCTCCTGCATGAAACCAGGCAATGGATTGTTGGGATGAGCTGGTGGCGAGACACCCAATGGGAACCCTCGTAACAGGTTAGGTGGAGGAAGACTCCCTGGCATAAGCATCTGCTGTAACATGGAAGGATGAGCAGCAGGGTTGAACCCAGTTAGCCCACTACTGGGTTGAAGAAAGGAGGACGAAGCATGTTTCTTGGAACCTGATGGTTAGGAGGAGCATCGTGATGAACCATGTGCTCTGGAGCCATCATCTTCATATGAGAGTTCATATGAGGAAGTTGAGGATCCAATTGGTTGAACATTGGACCCATTTGATTTAACTGAGAGGGATGAGGCTGTGGAGATCTATGGACGTTAAGATTCTGATGGGGAATACCTGATTCCCTTGTATCATAATGACTATATGCGAGACCTTGACTTCCGACAACAGGATGTTGATCTCTAAATGCAGGGCCCAGAGCTGCAAGTTTTCCGGCAATGTCAACTGGTATGTCATGGGACAACTCATTTTTTGCTGAATTACCAGCAGATAAAATATTTTGAAGAGAATCACCAACTGCCATCAAATTATCTTCTTCTGGAAGGCAGAAATCAGTTGGCCCACTAAAACCACCAGAATTGGAAAGTTCACTTTGAAGTTGTGATGAATTACCATCTCCCTGAAAATCAGCATACCCTGACAACTGCTCTTCAAATCTATTAGGTTTGAGTTGATGAAATTTTTCTGATGGCAGGACACCACTTCCATGCCTGCTCAATGCAACTTCACCTTTAGAAAGAGTGAGACCATTGTCTGAGACTGGGAAAGGAAATTGAAAAGGTTCTGAAACATCAGACCCAGAAGATCCAACTAAAGAACTCTGAATGGACAACGGTGCTCCAACTGACTGCAACTCCTTCATAAAAGCTGTTCCAAAAAGAGTTTCCAGAGTCAAACTCTTTGAAGAATTGGAAGCATCTGCATTGGCGTCCCCTAAATTACTAGGTGAATGACTCATGGTGGCTCCTTCAACACTTTGATCTTTCTCTGCAGAATCCATATCTGGAGTAGAATTTGGTTTCATGTCTTCAGAGCAGGTTCCTTTTTGTAACAAAGAAAGGAGCTGCTGGGACGCATGATCATTAATATCTGAATTTGACTGCTTAATCTTTGCATCAAAATCCTTTTCCTGCATGGACTGCTGAAGTGATGAAACGCTTTCACTAACTTGTGACAGTATAGAATTTTCCAGATCTTCACATGTTAGAACTGCTGGAACAGTCTCAGGTTTATCACTCTTGTATGGTTGCTCCATTAGTTCAATAGTAGTACAGGCTACACTACCACTTGCAGGTTCTGCGTTTAGGAAAGGAACCCGTGATGCACCTTTTTCACCCCCAACAATCAGCGAAAGCAAGTCATTTGGCCTATGCGTAGAGTCCTCCACATGCTTCTTTTCTGCAGCACAGTAAGAGAAGAATGAATAAAACAGGCCAACATCAAGTCACAAAGTTTAGCTTGAAAGTTAAAAAGCATCTAATTATTAAAGGTTTAAACCATGATGTAAGTACCTTCTTCCATAAACCAATGTGCAAACCTGGAAGACTGCGACGCATGAGGACTCCATGTTTCATCTACTTTGTGATCAGGCTGCTGTAGGGCCAGTTGCATAAACAGTCAAATTCAAAGAAGAAACATTGTCAAACAAAAACAAGAAATATAACATTTATCCAATCAACTATATATCCAGGCCCCATTTTTCAATTCAAAAGATATCTTCCACTTGTGGTTTCCAAGACACTTGAATCCCCAAGGAAGAGCTTGAGGGAGGATAAAAAACTTAGGCAGACAATTATCCAGAGAATAAATGAACACCCTCTCATCCACATATGATTCACTGAAGATGGCTTGGAGAAAATCCAATGACAAGTTTATTTCTCAATTGCATCAATAAATGAACTACACATCAAGAAAGTATTTTATCATCATGCTAAAACCAAAAAGAAAAAAATTAAAAAAGTATGGAACCTTGGAGATTCAAATTCAAACCATTCAAACTGTTTAATAAAAAGCTCAGCAACCAATCACTCGACAACACTGATAAAAGATTCCAATAAATGCCACTAGTAATTGTACCTCAGCATTTGTTAAGTCGCTATTATTTAATGTTAAAACATTGCCAAATAGCTTGTCAAGGACAGAATTTGAATCATTCTGATTTGAAGTCCCAATGGTCTGTGTCCCTTTTACTCCAGTGTTAAGTTGAATAACTTCCCTGTCATCTGATGCTTCTAAGGCTTCAGAAAGAACGGACTTCTTCCTCAATTGATAAGCATTCCCATCTTTATGTCTGGAGCATCCACAGCTGATGATGAATTTAGAATCTTTTCTTTCTCGTTGAGTGAAACATTTAGACTTGAACTTCCAAGATGTTGCTGATCCATATCTAATTGCTTGGTCGAAGAGTTATCCTCAGCATTATCAGAATTGACACTGAATACTTTATTACCTTTGGCATCCCCAACTTCCGGTTGTCCAACCTACCAAAGTAACAGAAGAATAAACAATATGTTAAAGAAGAACCCACAGATGAGAATAAATTGAAGTAAACCTAACAAAATTCAAATTCCAAAAATAAGAATTTGATATGAACTACTAGGCATTCAGACAAATGGCTATGATGGGACTCACTGTTATATTATCTAATAGTCAATGAGAAATAGCAACGAAATTCCTCCAAGTATCACAGAAGAGGAAGCATCAGCAAAACAACCAATCCTCGTAATGACATTAGCTAAACTGGTAGAAGAAAAAACGAAAAAAAAAAAAAAAAACAGATATATACATATATAGTACAGACTTCCCTGACTTTCAAGAGGCAGAACTCTTCCCAAGCCGACATGATTTGACATACACACATATAGGTTACTACATTAGAATTTAATCTTGATCAATATTATGATATTTGATTATTCATTACTTTTGATTTTAATTTGTGATTATATGTGCATTAATTTTCTTATATCTAAATATTAAGTTGTGAATGATGAAATATATTAATGCTAATTTCTTTTTGTTAATAATATTTTAACTAATACACCATTAAAACTAAAAATATATTAATTTAATTTGTTTAATGACTGGCATGGTTTTTAAAACATTGCTATTAATATCTCACTTTGCCTAACCCATGTTACCAGTGAAAATCAGTCAATGACAGCTTGACTCCAAAAGCTCTCCCCTCCATTTCTTCCACTCTTTCTTTGATTGGAAGCCAACTTATCCCCTTTGGTAACCAAATAGGAAAGGAATTTCCTTTCCTTACACAAAGATTGAGTTATACAATATGTATTATATCCCTATTATCATTAATCAACAGTCATAGTCTCTTTTTAAAAAATAAAAAAAAATCGGAGATACAAAGGACATTTTCCATTGACAAAGTCACCTTTTTCCTTCTATTGCATTCCATTTTGGCTTTCCCATCTTGTCCCATGGAAAGTTCAAAACCCTGAATCATAGTTTTTTATTTCTCACTAGACATGAAGTTGACATAAATAAAAAAACTTTTAAAAACCAATAAATGCAATGTTATCAACTATCCAAGATTTGAAGCAACTGGAATCTTTAATACAGCAACCAGTTGGCCATCAAACCATTGCAATTTAACTTTATAAAAGGAAGTGTTCTTTAGGCATTCAAAGCACTTAAAATTCACTATTGGAACACTAAAATCCTTCTGAAAAATAAGCGCAGGCAGGGTCATCAATCTTTGTAAGCCGAAAAGAACAAAGAACTAAATTCCAGAATTTATCACAATTCCTGTCACAGCAGAAAACATGCCAAGTAACTAATTTACCCAAGGTAAACAACAACCTTTTACCATATCTTTTAATAATATAACTATAACTCACACCATAAAGATACTCTGTAACTACATTCATCACAGGCAATAGCAATAATTACTATCAGAACTTCAGAAGTGCAGCCACAAAGTTACTTGAAGTTTAGCTCAACATGTAAAAACATACACTATTATGAATAAGTAACCACATATGAAACATGCATAAGATACCAGGTTAAAGGAGAAAACTACCAACCTCTGTTGTGTGAGTGTTTGCTGATGTTTTTGACGCAAAATTTCTTTCCAAAACTGTGCTCTTGAAGCCAGGAGGTACAAGCGGTCTTGCTGAAGGGGTGTGCACAAGGAAAGAAGACTTCTCAAAATCATTGCTTGAAGCTGACAGAGCCACAGGAGGTTCCACTGACTCATTGCTTCTACTAATTAGTCTTTTCTCGTTATCATTTAGCAATGAAGTAAAGTCAAACTCATCTTTATTCTTGTCCGGGTTCAGCTTCTGGTTTTCATGGAAAGCTTTCTGTTGTTCCTTTCTCATTAATTCAAAAGAAGCTGGAAACAAAGTTACCAACTCCTTAGTTCAATTTTATCAGAGGTTAACTTCATCATGGCAAGAAGAGCGGTAAACAAGACTTCATAAAGCTAAAAAGAGAGAGCAGTTAATGCCTCTCCAGCCAACAAAAAACGGTTACCTCTTCTCTTTCTCTCCTCTTCTACCCTGTCCTCACTGGTATACTCCGAAGAACCAAAAGTTTCATCATTATATGCGTCACTGTCCCTTCGTGAGTGAGGTGCCTGGGAAAACATAAGACAAGAAACATACATGGCATCTAAGTAAATAAAATTGCTTGCAATTACAATCTTTTCAATTTTTTCAAAGTTATAACTAAATTTAGTAAAGGTAACATAATAAGCCAACATATAGCTGACAGAAATATAACAACTAACCTTATAAGGGCGAGGAGGATGATATGGCTCATTAGAGCGGTTTAGTTGGGAGTGGTCATTAGCTCGAAACTTTGAACCAGACAGCCCAGGTGCAAATCCAGGTGGTCTTGAAAAAGTACCACTACCCAGAAGTCCATCATGTTCAGGACCTTGCCAAGACCTACGAGATTGGTTGCCAAAACATCTTCCAGAATCTGCAGATTGACAAGACTAATGAGTTGGATTGAGACCAGACTTGATTAAGAGCAACTTCTGGTTCCACAAACAGCATTTCAATGTCATAAATTTGCAGACTGAGGAAGCGTAAAGAAGTATATGACATATAAAAAGCTTGAATTTAAGGATGAATGAAAAAAGAACCCAACATTCACTTGGCAGAAACAACGTGATTAGATACAGCCCCGAATTGATTTTCCTATATTGAGGGGATAAAAAGAACACTCACTAAACTTGTATATAAGGTATAGCATAAAAGGAATGACAAGCCGAACCCATAGGAACTGGCACAATCAAATTATTAAACTAGTTCAGTTAAGATCATAAGCCAACATTAGTAGTTCAACATTACGTATTATTCATTCTTTCTTGGAAGGGTAATTTCTCAGCAAAACTTTTCAAACACTGAAATAAGTAATCATTTTATATTATAAGCTCCACAGCCGGGCGTGTAAGAAAGGCTCAGAGAAACTTCTAAAATCTAAAAGCCATAAACTCATCAGCATTCAAAAATTAAACATTGAAGCACAGAGAGAGAATCACATCAGTTTAAATGGTCGGAAAGCAAGTAAATGTTTTTATTCGACAAAAGGGGAAACACTGTTGAAGCAGTTTAAACTACACCTGAGTCCCATTCGGATTGAGAGTCACTATCTCTATCAGACCGTCCAGAAGAACGAGATTCCCATCTTCCATGAACTCCCCGTGAATAGCTATTCATGTCTCCTCTAGTGGGAGGGGATGAACCATATTCATGACGCCTAAAATTATGATTTGATAAACCTCCAGTTTCTCTCTGTCGTTCCTGGGAAGCATCTTCGAATTCACTGGTCCCATTAAAGGGCACAGGCCAATATTAAAAGCAACATATGACACAGCAATTGAATAGTAGCAGTTGAAAAGGATGGATAATAATGAAGAATAAAATGAGATCCCAGCATCTTTTTATTTTCTCCTTCATCAAAATCGGATGTTATCCAATGTGATAATTTACCTTAGAATTGATGGGTCAAATCCACTGGGCAACTCTTTGCAAATATCCAGTTTACTTAACGACAACAAGAATTCGCTTGTATATGAGAATTTCAACTTCCTGAATCACCATAAAATAATTATTAGACATGTGTGCCAATTTGATGAAGACACTAAAAGAGGGGGGTAACGAGAGAAGAGGGAGAGTTGGAAGACAAGAAAGAAGTTTACTTCGGTAATTCATGATGAGTTGATTGATCGCAGAAGCTTTTTTCTTCGCTTTCTAAGCTCATTTTATATGCTTGACGAAGAATTTTGCTAACTAAAGTTGATGAATAATGCCAGGTATCAACCACAAAAAGAAATGCAATCACTTATGTGGTCCGGCTACACAAGCTCATCCTATAAATTCAGCTCCAGGAAAAAAAAAATCAGCAGCCAAAACACCTAAGTCCACAAGGGACTAAGGACCAAATGTAACGAATGCTCCGCTTCTCCCAACACGCAACGCAGTAAAGGGCATAGATAAAACTAAATCATTTAGTGCGTGCAGAAGGCCAACCCCGGCGTATCCATCACCCTCACTAAAACCCTCATACATCCAAATTACCAAATCTAGTCTAGAACCTATATAAAAGCAATACTGATCCCACTCATGCAACCAAGCCCATCACAGCCCAAAATTCGGAACCGTCAAAACTCCATTCGTCGATGAAAAATGTGGAGTGCCCAGCAACTAACAAAGTCCTCCTTCAGTAAAATTCGCGAAAGGGACGTAGATGTATGTACAGGTTACAGCCCGTTAAACAAAGCAGAATCCATACTTGCAAATTGCAAGATATGGGAAAAATGATTATATAGTACTTGTAAAAGACACGAAATTAAGCTCCAACTAGAACCAAATAGACCAGAATTAAAAGGAGCTTCGTTCTAATCTAGCAGGAGATCCTCCATGACATGGTAACTAGGGTTTTTGTTCTCAGATGACGAACTACCTGGATCGAAGACAAGAGAGAGAGAATCAATCAATAAAATTCATGGACAGGATGTAGATGTATGTACATGTTGCAGCCCGTTAGTTAAACAAATCGGAATCCGAGCTTACAACTAACAAGATACAGGAGAAATGATTGTATGATACATGTGAAAAAGACACGAAATTAAGCTCCGACAGAATCCAGATAGACCAGAATTAAGAGGAGCTTTGTTCTAATCTAACAGGAGATCCTCCGTGAGATGAAAATTAGGGTTTTTGTTCACAGATGACGAACTACCTGGATCGTAGACAAGGAGAAAGAGAGAATCAATCACGAGAACATGGTGTAAAAAGCTGAATAAATTTTCAATTATTGTGGCTCTTTCTGCTTCTTTCTTCTATCGATCGGAGAAAGAGGTTCAGTGAGTAAAACAGATTTGAAGGGAAAGGTTCAGAGCGGAAACTGGCATGGGGTCTCTCTTCTTCCTATGGTGGAAATGACGTTATTCACCTTCTGTTCCATTTCACGATTGAAAGGGAAATCCCCCTTTCAACTGCTAAATGACACGGACATATAATATTGTATTATCTAATTATCACAAATGATATTCTTAGTTTTTTAATAATCTATCATAAGTGATATTAATATTATGTTAACAGTATACACGTTGCCCACTGTCATCCTCCCGGTCACAGAAGCATATTGTCTCTTTTTAAACTTTTTTGATGTACAACACACAAAAATTGTGCATATGATGAATTATAAATTATCATTTTTATATTATAAATTATAAAGCATTTCTTATTCGTTGCGTAACGTAAAAGAGTTTAATATTGATCAATTAATAATAATAATTAATAAATATAAATATTTAAATAAAAATATATTGAAATTTGAATCTAACCACGCAGATAAATCTCATTAGTTGCACTTTTAAAAATTCAAAATATCTTATATTTTTAATATTTATATAAAAAATTTCTTATATATTTTGAAATTATAAATAAAATTTTAGTTTTATCATGGTTGTAACCAATTTAAACATTTTATTAATATTTTCCACATTCACTTAATTGATGGAGTGATTCGAGTCACTTGATTGAACAACTCGTAGTAAACTTCAATAATAGATAAAATTTGTTTGATATTTTTTTTTATGGAACTCCAATTTTTTTATTAAAATCCACTCAATTTTAATACAACTAAGAATTGTTTAATATGAAAGTTGAATATCCAATGCATTTTTGCATTGCATATTTCTATATTAAATCTAAATACTAGATTTATAAATTTATTATTAGAATAAAGTTGTCGAATTCACAAGTTTAAGTAAATTCAAGATAACAATATAAACTTAAATTGTAAATTCATAAGATTATACCTATTAATAAATAATTATTAACAATATATAACTAAATAATTAAAATATAATTATAATTTAATTTAAATATATTTTAAATATAAATTATTAAAATTAAATTCATCTATTTGATAGATTACCATACTTGAACTTAACATAGAAATTTTAAAATATGACAACTTTTTTTTAGCATTTATTTTTTATTTTTCAATTAATATTGATTCTTGCTTTTTGAGTTTTTTTTTTTGAATTAAATCTTGTCATTTTTATAAATTAAATTCTATACAACATATATTTAACTCACCCAACTCAACAACAAAAAAATCAACAAGTTTAGTGGATTTAACCAATTTTGTGTCTAGTCTTAATTTAAAAAAAAAAAAGTTAACATGATTTTATAAATTATAAATGTAAAAAAAATGAACTTGAATAGTCAATTTGTGAGTTTGTTTTTACCAGTAGTTAATTCACGAATTTAACTGAATTTAAATTTAAACTGAATTTATAAGTAAGTTAATATGATTTTGCAAGTTAAAAATAAAAAATAATAAAAATTAGATTATCAGCTTGAGAATTTGATAACAGTGAAGTCTTCAAATAATTTTAACCGTCTATTTAAAATTATTAAATCTTCACCCCCTTCCACAAAATGTGTTTGCTGTTGCATTGTTGAATGGGTGCATTGGAGACATGAGAAAACAGATTATATATTCCAATTCAAATTTTGCTTAATTCTATATAAAAATTGACTTTAAAAATGACTATAGAGGTATGTTGAATTAAATTTTTAACCACAGGACATCTGTGTGCAACAACAAAATAATTTTGTATTTTCAGTTTGATGTACAAAAGTTATAAATGTAGCTTAAACTCGTAAGATACCTTTGCTACATAAATGAAGAAAATGAAATACAAATACTTTTCAAATTTTCCTGTTCATCAAGTAGAAGAAGGGTTGCATCAATTTCATGATTTCATGGAATATATTAACATGAAGGAAGTAAGAGAGATTCACGTGAGCCGGGAGACACTGGCGAACTTCACACGTCATGCGTGGCTAGTCTGAAGATGTAGAAATATCGATATCTGCATTGACTAGCAAGTGCTCGTTCATTCTTCAATTGCTATGGCTCTGCATCAGATTCTAAGACATGCTTGAAGCTTTTTTATTGACTAAAAATTTATCAATATTTCAAATATAAAGCTATGTATGATTGAATTCATAAAACCTCTGATTGGCTGAGAGGAGTAAAAGCAACATTATAATATAAAATTTCAATCTACGTTATCACGTGGCTTAATTAAGGCATGCAACCTTCAGGACATGGTTTTATAGGTATGGCCGCTAAAATGGGTAGTTAATTTTGAGAAAATCGCATCATGATTTTAAAGATGATGAAATGACTAAATTTGTGTGTGTGTGTGTGTGGGGGCTATAAATTTGGACTGCTTTCTACAGCCCAAAACTTTGCTGGGCTGCTTTGTGCAGTACCTCTGATCACCATTTAATCTCATCAGACTTGCTCAGGAAGAGCGAGAGCCACGGTTTTGAAAAGAAAAAAAAACAGAGAGGGAAATTCAACGAGATGAAAAACAAAAACTATATATTCTATAAAATTATACTATAAATTATCCATTTATAAACTAGCATTAAATACAATTAAGTTTATCATTCTAGTTAGAGCACAACCTTCCTGGATCGTATTAAACTCAATATAGTAGGTAATATTATTTTTATTATATAAATATAAACAATATCAAAAATAAAGAGAGAAAAGACTAGCAAGATAAGAAGAAGTGTGATAAAAAAATAAGGAAGTAATAGTTCTTTTTTACTTGGGGTTTAATGCATTAAGATAAAGAATTCTACAAGTTATGAATTATAAATATCCACTCATATAATAATACAATATTTATGGCTTGTTTAGTTCAATTTCATGCATTAGAATTATTTGTAATCTGGATGCACTTTGTTTATTCCTGTTATTTGGCTAGACTTAATAATGTAATATGAACTATATTATTAGGTAATCCTAATTCTCTCAAATGACTACAATTACATAGCTAAATCACCTGAAAGAGGATTACAAGACGAGCAAAGGACATTGTTGCCCTTGAAAAATCGAACGATGCCCTTTCACCTCCACTATTGCCTTCTTTTTGTGGCAACCTCATCGATCTGTAGCTTACCAAATAACTTCGTTGAGCTTTGTAATGTCCCCCTTATCAATCCATTTTGTAATCACAATATTAAGGGAAATCAAGGGACTAACATAGACAAATTATCCATCCATAGTTAACCAATTACTAAAATTTAAGCTATAAAATTTTCACAATTAGGGTCCCAAATTTTTAATATGAAAATAAGATAAATAAAGCTTGATCAAATCTATTTCAGTATTTAAAATAATTACAAAAGCATGGTATACCATTTATTGGTTCAAAATATATAAGATAGTTGAAAAACCAATAGGATCAGAAATTGAGCGACACATTATGGCGTGGCACCCTTACGTCGTAGCTTATCTTTTTTGTATCATACATTGCAGTATAGGTACCATGTGTCACGATGCATTGTAAATTTTTTACAAAATAACTACTACCATTTGACAGTAGTTGGGGCCAACTTTTGGCATGCCGTAATTCTTTATCCAATGTTTGATTGAGGTGGTTTAGATATTTATAAAAAGCTTTTTTTCAAAATCTAGTTAATAACACTGGTCTCATTCCCAAACTATTATTCAATCAAAAGATGGACACTCATTAGTAGAACCACACATTTCATACGTTCATACTTAAAATTTCAACTTAGGTGCCCAAACTCTTAACCCAGTGCTAAAAAGCCTATAAATACACATAAAGCACACTCAATAGATTCGAGACTACTTGTGCAACACCCGCATCAAGCATATAATACATATTTCTCAATTTTCTTGATTCTCGAGAATATAACCAGGGATATTTGACATCAAAAGTCATTATAGCATGCTTTACAATTAATTGAATCATGCATGTTTTATTTACACTAGTATTTTAGCCTTATTTAAATATCTCAATCATCGGGCCTAAAACTAAGGACCCAAAATACACTAACTCATCACTATTAACACTTAGTGCAATTATAATAAAATAATGTAGTTCTAATCAGCAATAAGGCGATACAAGAGGTATGCTTATCCCTAAGTCTCGAAAGCTTTCCTTTTATCTACACTTAAGCTAGAACCCATAAAATATTAAGATTGAGGTATAGTCACTTAGTAACCAGAGTACGTATATCCTTTGTAATTTATTATTAATTGACAACTTAATATGTGCAAATTCTCATAAATATTTAAATTTCTTAACTTGTAAGGAAATCACATTTAACCACATGAAAACTCAAGTAATGACTTTATCATTCTCTACAATCATCTCACAATGCATATTGCCACAATAATAACAATCATATGATAACGGCAAAAGCAAATATCATAACTTGTCATAAACTTAACAACTATATGATGCATTAGATAAGAATGCATAATTTAACTATCTGTATATTCTCCTTATATCTTTTGATTGAAACTATAGGTAACAATTCAATCAAGGCTCCATCTATGTGAATGTACTATCTAAGCTCACCAATCATGGGAAGCGACCTTACTAAAAATTATCACACTCACTCTCAAACCACGGTTTCCCTCGTTCTTAAATATTTGGGGTGTCATAAACTTTAAACTAATATCTTCAACAAATAGGTAGAGTTAACTAGGTTCAAGCCCTTGCATAAATAATGTGATAAGCCCTCAACAAATATTAAGACAGGGCTGCCCCTCGATTCCAATGATTAGCAACCATTATCACGTGAATTTTATTTACATTCCCTAGGTGAACTCCCATAAAAAATGATCATGCTATTAATGATACTCACTTATTTCACATATTCACTTATCTAAATACAAGTTCATTGAATTCACATAATAAGTTATCATATTTGAGCATTACAATTATCTTTACTTATCACACATAACTTCTATTCTCAATCTCATATACTCATATCACATTTGCATATTCTCCAATTTACTCATATTGTATTTCAAAGCCGATACATCAATGCCATCATTCAATCAATTTGTCAACTTCTTATTTCAGAACATAATTATGTTATTTCAAATATTTTGAATTCAGATATTGAATTTATAACAAAATGGGCTAATTAAAACTGACATGTTTGGCACATACTAACAATAATGTAATTCAATCATTTATGTCAAATCGTTTTCTTTTTCCAAAAGCATGGATCAATTAATAAACAACTATAAAGAAAAGATTTCGGATAGTTATCTCAAACTTTTGAGTGACTAAAAATTTATCCCTCAAATCAATGCTTTCAAAGCTTACTCACAGGTTAAATAGATGCACCGACAATGGATCTACGATTAATTATGTCCAAACTCATCATTATTACCAATTGCATAATTTAAACTCTTTATTTCAACACTTAAAATATTCCAAAGGCCTTGTCCTTATCATTTAGGCTTACCTATAGGGTGTGTTAACTCTCTTTAGTTCACATTAGCTTCATTAAACCCTTACTTTCTATTAACCAATTCTAACAACTATAATAAACGGCAATTTCAACCATTAATGTATCTTTAACCATTAAAACATGTAAACCCACAAACCTTAGATTTAATTACCTTAAACAACTCTCATTAACTATATTTAAGTCAATAAGGTTGGACCTATGACTTCTACAAATCAAAATCACTCCTATAAGCAAACCATAACTTTAAAACTTTTGAATAACGGAGAAGGAAGGCAGGAGAAGGATTAAAAAACTCACCCTCAGTGTTTGTTAGCTCTCAAATTGCTCTAAACTCTTAAAAAGAGTAAACCTTAGCAGAGCTCCACTCCCTTCTTCGTCCTCCTCATTTTAAACTTTATGTTTTCTCCTTCCTTTTTGACTAATTTTGTGAACTGAAGTATTATAATTTTGTGCTATGCACCACGGTGTACCCTATGGCTCTGTTTGGTAGGAATGATTGGGAGTGTGGGATTGGGATTGGGATTAGGATTGAATAATCCCACCTTTTCATGTTTGGTATGAAGGAACGGGAAATTTAATCCCAATCCCATCTAAGTAGGTTTATCCAATACTGCTACCCCCTGGTACTGGAAAATTAATCTTGGATTTGATTATTTTTGGACCAAATTGCCCTTACCTCTTACACTTGTCTCTCTCCCTTGGCCCTTACTCAGTAGATGCACTTTCAGACTAAGCAACGCCAACGCCGACGCTGTTCTCTACCAACGACTCTCTTATCCGCTGATGCCATTACTAGATCTGAAGGGAAAAGGAGATCGAAATGAGAGAAGGAGAATGATTGATGACCCAAGCCTCTTTTTCAGGACATAAACTTGAGCTACAGCTACCTGAACCCTTGTAGATGGTGGCCACACTGGCAACCTCACAACGAAATCACTCCTGATTAAGTCACTGACATACCTCATCGTTACTATATGTATGATCTTCAAAATTCATCGCATAGCTGAGAGTATTATAAATGGAAATCGGTGGACTGGCGGCAACCTTGATGGGATCCAATCAACTAGATGAAGTCATTGCATTTGTTCTTGAAGTGCAATGAGTTCTAAAACGTAATGGACTTGGCAGTGAAAATTGTGCAATGGGGTCATGAAGAAGAACGGCCCAAATTGCTTCAAAACCTCTGGTTTCTCCAGAGGGCTAATATAGTCTTTTCTTAATTATATTTAATTGTAAGGTAAAATAAAAGGAAGTATTCCTTACAAATATTATCTAATATCAAACATGATTTTAAAACCTTATTCCTACTTTTAATCCTAGTCCTAGTCCTAATCCCAATCCTATTCCTTTAAATTGAGACTTGTATACTAAACAAGGCCCATATATGCTGCAGTGTGTGGCATAGAGAGCCGTACCCCACACCTATTTGGCCCATGCACCACAACAGATGGCGTAGAGAGGTCCCCTTCTCCTATTTAATACTTTACACTGTGGTAGATGATACATATAAAGTGATACATGGCATAGAGCCACCCTTCTTTGACTTTTCTCCTTCCTTTGGGCTTAACTGGCCTAAATTCTAACTCAGATCTGATCCTAAGGCTATAACCCACGCCAGGATGCATAACGGGTGTCATAGTCATAAGCTTTATCAGCATCTTCTCATATCTAGTGACCAAAAGGACCATTAAAATGAAAGCAAATGAGATTGTTGAATCTTGGTGAAGTGAACTTGCCATTGTTGTTAGTCTTCTTACTCCATCATTTTACTTCCATTAGAGTTGGGTGAGGGAGAAGGGATCTTTGGATTTGAAGAACAACTGTATTGCAATTGAGGTGGAATGATTTTTTTTTTATGGTAATTGCTCTTATTGCAAGAAGGTTGACCTAGCAGATGAATGAAGAAGATGGAGGATTTTTTTATGAGGGTAGTTATGTCTATTTAGTTTTATTTAATTTAATAAAATACCAATATTATATTTCATTCCCATGTTCTTAAATATCATACTAAATAAATTCTTATAATCACCATCATATTACATTACTTTACATTTCCAATCATTACATTCACAATGATTCCATGAACCAAATAAGCCATCATAATACTATCCTTTAAATCCTTTAAATGTTCATAACAAATATTGCATTTAAAACCTTACCATGAAAAACTCAATGATATAACAATCTAGCAAAGGAAAAAGAACAAAAGATATTTATAAATATTCATTAAATTTGTTTCATTAAAAAAATCAATAAAATTTAGTGGAACAGGACATTAAAAAAAATAGAGTGTGCTATTTTCTTCCTTGGTAACAATTTTACTTTACTTCCTAATGACACCATTACTCACCCTTAATATAGGTCATATTTTCACAACAATTTTGTTATAATACCTCATGTCATAAATTTCAATGACACTCACACACACAAATTTGTGGATGTCAAAGAATATTTGAGAGTTTTCATTTAAAAAGTGAAAAAAAATAGACAAATCTAGTTGAAGTTATGATAAGTTAATACGATAGTGGGCCATGTTATGAGAATTATGCAAATGGCGAGCAATATAAGTCTTTTTCTAACATTCTTAAATCTTAACCTAAAAGAAACCCAAAAAAGTGTCATTCCCAGTGGCAAAGTCGCCTAGTGGGTTGGGTTCCATAAAAAATGATCCATTTCCCTCTATCGTTCTTGCCACTTTGTCTCACTTCATCTCTCGTACATTACCCACATACGCGCATGTACGCACACTTTTAAATACAAAATTAAAATTCTACAAAAAAAAATACAAAATTAAAATTATTTTCATTAATGTCAAATTAATATGATTTAAATTGAATACATACTATTTTATTTAATGTGCGCAATCTTTCCAACAAGGTACCAAAAACTAGATGAATAATTGATTAAAGTGCTAATTCAAGGGTTAATGATTAAAATTATAATTGAATCATGTTTAAATAGATCATGAACAAAATATTCTATTAAATCAGTGACTAATTAAAAAATTGATTTAATAATTTACTGATTTAATAGAAAAGTTAAATCTTAATTTTAATACGCTCCTTCATGAGCTATATACTACTCCTAGGATGAAATAACCCGCGATTTCTTTGCGTATAAATGATAATGAGGAAGTCAAAACTTAAAACCAAGAATAAACCCATTTTAACTATTATTTTGGTTTATTAGCAAATTAATTTATTTAAATTCAAATTTTTAACTCTATGTCACGTTATACCTGTGAGTGGTACTTTTCATCTATTTTTCATAAAAAATATTTCAAAACCTTTATTCAGACTGTGTTAAAGACAAAATTAATCAGAAGACTTTTTTTTTGGGTAAAGAATTAAAAAGACAATTCGATACGAAAGAAAAGAAACAGATTTTTACCCCAAAAAAAAAAAAAAGAAAATAAAACAGATACAGAAGCTTACGGTCACTGAATCTGAATTAAACAATGAACGTCTTTGCTTGCTGGTCCGGTCTTGTGTCTCTAACTTCAACAAACACACACGCTCTCTCTCTCTCCTCTCTCTCACTAACCGACCATTACTTCTCCCTTTCTCCTTCATTTCGATTCAAAAATTTCACCCCATTCCCTCTCACCTCCTTTACTCCATTGTCCATTGCCTTCCCGCCGGAGCTTCAACCATGATTGCCGTAAGAGTTCATTCTTTTCGGAATTTTGATAAAAGTCCAATGCGACCCAGTTCGTAGCAAGAGTGTGCGTGCATTGTGCTGCGTTGTGTGTCTATCCCCTCGCACAACAAAAACTGGAACAACAACGAGATGTTAGTATACGACGCCGCTTTTCTCGATAAAGAGCTCTCCAAACGCACGTCAATCTTTGGCCTCCCTCTCTGGGTCGTTGTCGGAATCATCGTTGGCGCCGTCATCGTCCTCGCTCTCTTCCTCCTCTCCCTCTGCCTAACCTCTCGCCGCCAACGGCGCTGCCACAATCCAAAAAAGATTCACGATCCTGAAGATGCTGGAACCCCTGTTGTATCGAAGGAAATCCAGGAGATCGTCCACCTACCTGGACCCAACCAGCACCACCCGACGCCGCCGCCGGAGATCCATGTTGACATCGGAAAATCACAGCACCGGGTTGTGGTGTTTTCCGATCGGATTTCTAGTGGAGAGAGCAGGGGTACGGCCATGAGTGCTTCTGAAACGACGTCGTCTTTTGGTGGTGGGAGTGTTGGGCCAGAAGTCTCCCATCTGGGGTGGGGGAGATGGTACACTCTGAGAGAGGTCGAAGCTGCGACTAATGGGCTGTGTGAAGAAAACGTGGTTGGTGAAGGAGGCTATGGAATAGTGTACAAAGGAGTACTTGATGATGGTACGCGAGTTGCAGTGAAAAACCTTCTAAATAATAAGTATGTATTGCCCTTTTTTTTCCCCCTTTCCATTCATTTCAGATTTTACTTGCAGAATGATCTTCACTGGAATTGAGACGAACCAATATGATGATCACATAATATCTCTTCCTAATAACTGAGCTACTTTGAATTACTCTCATCTAATCATATATAGTTTTGTTTTGTTGCCGCTAGTATGATTTTTTATGCTAGATGTTTGGAGCACGCTGGAGAAATCTAATGTTTCAACTTTCTCTATGGGGTCTATCTTGTTTGGTTCATATCCGGTTTCGAACTTATATGCAGTTTTGTAAAAGAATTTAGAAAAACGATGGTATACTTACCGCTGGAATATTAGTTTCTTACATATACAGTCACACTGGCCGCCAAATTGAAAGGCTACTTTATCTTTTTGGGTTCTTGATTGGATTCCCAGATGATGAATTGTCCTTTAAAGCCTCAATCAAGGCGAAGGAAAAAGCAGATTAAAATTCTGTGTTTCTATTTTTTTTTTAAAGAAAAGCACGATTGGAGTTTGCTTACTGGTTTTCTCCTTCGTAGTAATGCACAAGACTTCTCATAAGCTGTGATTTGCTTTTGACTGTAGGCCCGTGTTTTCTTCTCTTTTACTTCAACCTTCCCCCCTCCTTTTAAAATCTTTCCCTTTTCATTGTTGTGCTGTTGATGTTAGTAGTTGGGTCTAAAGTGACTTACTTGAGTGAAGAAAAGAATAAACTTTCTTTCTGGGCCTTTATTTTATCACTACTAAATTGATAATGCTCTTCAACTTCATGTTTAACTCATTTGAGGGGCCAAGCTGAGAAAGAATTTAAAGTGGAGGTCGAAGCTATTGGTCGTGTGCGGCACAAGAATCTTGTTAGGCTGCTCGGATACTGTGTTGAGGGAGCATACAGGCATTGATATAATTTTCTATAACAACAATTGATACTTGGAACAATATTCAAGAAATATAAGTATTACCGTATTATCTTCTTTTACAGGATGCTTGTGTATGAATATGTTGGCAATGGCAATCTAGAACAATGGCTTCATGGGGATGTTGGATCTGTAAGCCCTCTGACATGGGATATCCGAATGAACATCATATTGGGCACTGCAAAAGGGTATTATATTCTTGGAATTATCTGCATAAAAATACTATCCATGTTGATGCACCAGTGGTTCGGACTTCTTATCACAGTGCTTCTTGTGTACTCTTTTCAGATTGGCCTATCTTCATGAGGGTCTCGAACCAAAGGTTGTTCACCGAGATGTAAAGTCTAGCAACATACTCCTAGATCGCCAGTGGAACCCAAAAGTTTCAGATTTTGGGCTTGCTAAGCTCTTGTGTTCTGAGCATAGTTATGTCACAACTCGAGTCATGGGCACATTTGGGTAAGTATGATCAAGCTAAGCGAATATGTTCTTTACTATTGAGGTCTTTTCTACCAGGTTTTCTAATGAAAATATCACATGCGAACATTTATTATAATTCAATGTCGTTTATTGACTCTACCAGTAAAGTCTCTTCCCATATCACCTAAGTTCTGTCCCCATAATCAATTCCTGAGTGAGTACAATAAACGATGAGTCAATCTTACTCTGAGAAATTTGAAGGTCATATGATTCTCCTTTTTCTTCCTTCCATCAGTTATGTTGCACCAGAGTATGCCTGCACTGGAATGCTGACTGAGAAGAGTGATATTTATAGCTTTGGAATACTTATCATGGAGATCATTACTGGGAGAAGTCCTGTTGATTATGGTAGACCACAAGGAGAGGTCAGAAAACGCGACCACCTAGAGTTTCAACTATTGATATGCCTGATGTGTTTGCAGTTCTGATTGTTTTAACTGTTGAAACCGGAAAACTTTCAGGTTAATTTAATAGATTGGTTAAAAGCCATGGTTGGAAATCGAAAATCTGAGCAACTAGTTGATCCTAAGCTCCCTGAGATACCGTCTTCGAAAGCTCTCAAACGCGCACTGCTGGTTGCTCTTCGATGTGTTGATCCCGATGCTACCAAGAGGCCTCAAATGGGGCATGTCATCCACATGCTTGAGGCAGATGACCTATTATTCCCGGATGTGAGTTCTTTTCATCTGCCTAGATCATTCTCAAGACTCTTCCACAATGCTGAAACCCTCTGTAGTTGCATGATAGGAAAAAAATTCTTAGCATAAAAAGCAAGATATGTAATGTTTGTTATATCTTTATTTTCTTGAGTGTATGAAATGCATTTTTCATTCATAAAATTATTTATTTTATTATATTCTAATTCTGTGTACTAAATAGAGCCTTATACTTTGTTCTTTTGCAGCCTCAGGAACGCCGGATCAGGGGAGAGCCTTCGCATTCCAATCGCGATCGTCAAGAGCAGAAGGAACTGAATTTAGATAAAAGAAGTAATGGAGAAGGGATCACTGGTCCAAGTGAAGCAGATGATAGTAGTAGAAGTCATCATCAGCCAACTAGGTGGAGATAACGGTCTGACAGTTAGCTGTTTATAATTTAAAATGGCAACATGTTTTTATCCTCTGATATGTAGTAGTTTGCCAATTATTATTTGTACCCCAATTTTACTCGCCCTTCTTGCTTCAAACCTCGACATGGGATTCACATGTATTATACACACACTCTTATTCATTATATTATAAGCAGATGTTTATTCTTGATTGAAGATCAACGAAACTAATGGTAGTGATGTTTAATTTTGATTGATGTATTATTTTATTATATTCGAAGGAAGTAATAATAACTGATCACGGCTGGTTTGAGTGGTTGGACACTTATTTTCTTAATGTTAGACAATAGGATCAAGTTTTTTAAGCAAAGAAAACTGATGTTGAAGGGTTTTACATTGATAATCCTATCTAGCTGGATTATGAATATGAAAATGTAATGTGCGTGTGAATATGAAAGAAGCAGTAGTGGATAAGCAAACAGGATTGGATCAAAATGAAATGGCAACTTCAGTGATGGAGGGTTGTGGGAAAGAGACAGGCAGGGCGGCCAGATTTCTTCTCAGTGGAAGCACTATACGATGGGAAGAAGATGACAATCACTTGATTAGCTGGCGGTTGAGGTTAGAAGCTTGAGAATGTGAGTGCATCCACGGGGGACGCCCCCTTTTGTCTCCTTCTGCTTTAAGTTTCCGTTGGTTCTGACTTTTTCTCCCTACTCATGAATTGCCCTTTTTTTTTCTTCTTTTTTTTCTCCCGGGGAAGCGAAACGTAGAATGCTTAATATTTGAAGACTTAAACTATTTCTAAATATTTTTAAAATAGCTAATATTTGATATGGGCTTTCAAGTAAAATTTTTATTTGGATAAGCAACGTCATATTGAAGAAGCGTGCAATTAACAAGAAATTCTGCAATTCGCCCTTGCTCTTGCCTTTGAGCTGTCCCAACTCAAAACCTCCCTATACCAATTTAGTTTTTCTTTAGAACTTATATATATATATATATATATATATATATAATTAGGAATAAACAAATTTTTTTTATTCAAATTCATGCTCTGTTCATTTTGGGACAGCAAATGGGCCCAAAGGCCAATCCCAAGTAAACCCCGACCCTGTTTTATAGTGTTCTTAGTCAAGAAAACATTTGTAGTTTCACTCAGTTTTTAAACTAAATTTGCGCCTCCAAACAAAGAATCAACATTTCTTTTTAGTTGTTGAATATTTCTTTAAATTTATAAAAATGATGAACCAATCTTTCTTTTCTCTTGGATAAAAAGATGAATTGAAACGAAAGCCTACAATACAAGAGTCATGAGCAATGCCAAGAAAGAGGGTTTCAATGAAACAAAGAGCCTATAATCATTAGTTACAGATATTGAAAAAGAATTAGAAACTTAGTTAATAGTTAATACAAAAAGATCAAAGCCAATTGAACCGGATACACCTGCAATAATTAAGGAAAGTTAGACAATCCATCATACAAATTACAAAAGCTCTCCTCCCAAACATGCTGGCAGAGAAGAAACTTTAAGATTTTTTTATAAAAATGAAACTTTCTAAAAAGTAAAATACAACTAAAATTCAAGTATATTTGCTATTTATCTCAAAAGAATAAGATTGAAAATTTGCAAATTCAACATATAATTACATAGAAAATAATAAAGTCAATAATTGAAAAAATAAAATCGAAGCAACAATTTTACACTATCCAGTATTATGAGATACTCTTTAAAGTAGCATATTGAAAAACTAAGATATTTTAAATATTTCAAGATATAATTAATATAATTTTTTTCAAAATACTCTTAATTAAGAGTATAATTAATAAAAATAATTTATTGAGATAAGCTATTAAATAAAAATTAATTTAGAAGGAATTTGTAATTTTAAAGATTATTAATTAATTTATTGAGAGTGTAAAATAGTTAAAAAATTTCTTATTACAGTGAACAGAGGGAGTAATTCTTTAAAAAATTTTAGTACTATTTTTTTAAAAACTTGAAAGTATCATTAATTTCATCATCACTGTAAATCATGATTTTTTTCACCCTGTAAAATCATAATTAGTATGCTTAAAAAAAACTTGTTTTAAGGATACATTGGCTCACTAGCTGAAAAAAAAAAATTTATACTCCAAAATTTTTGAAAATTTGAAAATACGGCTGATTTATATTGATATATAAAAGGTTTTTTATTAAAAATCTAAAAATTTATAAAAAACTTATTATTGATATATAAATATATTATTGATAAATATAATAAACAGATTATAATATAAGATATAATAAATATTGAATTATGTATTTATTTTAATTTTATAATATAGACATAAGACATCAACTATATTTGCAAAAGGCTCACGAAAATCCAATTTGGAAAAAAAAAAAAGAAAAGGCAGCACAAAAATCCAAATGCCTCTGAATTCTGAACTTGGTCACATTAGCATGCCAAGGGAGAAGAAAATGAAAATATATCCGAAAGGATCTCTCGGAATTACGGATGCGGGTTCATAAGCTCCCTCCGAAAAGCTCAGTGAGCAAAACGAGCAATGGGGGAGACCTTCGTCCAAATCCAAATCCCGCAACAAAAGCTTTATAACGGAATTCAATTCCCTTCCGTTGTGTCTCCGCGGAGCCCCACTACCTCCTCTTCTCTATCTCTTCTCACGCAATCCATCCAAATCCACAAGCAATTCCTGGAATCGTTGCTTCTTGAATCGGGTGCCGTAGTTCTCAGGGGATTCCGATTGACGACAGCCTCCGATTTCAATGACGTTGTCGAAGCATTTGGATATGAGGAGCTTCCGTACGTGGGTGGCGCTGCTCCTCGGACTAACGTTGTAGGTCGGGTTTTCACCGCTAACGAATCCCCACCCGACCAGAAAATTCCTTTCCACCATGAAATGGCTCAGGTGTCTCAAATTCTATCAGTACTTGTTCTACAAGCATGTTCTAGTGTTTTAACATGTGGAGCTTCAACATTAGAGTCGTATCATGTTCTAATGCAATCATATAATAACGTGTGTGCGAGTCTATATACTGTGTCGTTCTGTTATGTTAATGTTGGTGCTTCTTAGGGTGGTATAATTTGACATTTAGTTAAGTTGGTGGACAATTCATGTTTGGCTCGAGTTGTTTTTTGGACAAAAGGCAAATATACCCAAAAGTCATTGTGAGGGAAAGTGCAAGAGTTTCATGAGGCCATGAGGTATTTCTATGGGTTCATCTGTTACCAAACTGTTAAAAGTCAAAGATATTGACTGTTATGTTTTAGATTTGAAATTTAATATTTTTGTCACAAATATACCGAAAAAATAACTTTATTGGCACTCGTGCATTTTTTCCTCACTTTAGGCTATGAGATATTCCTGGTTGATGATTTATTAGATATTTTTGCCTCTTTGCTCCCTTTTTTTATTTAACCGTGAAAATTCCCCTTTAATGTGCCAAATTCTTTCAATGTTTACTTTGAAAGCATGCTGACTATTGGAAGTTGGAACAGATCAATTTGATCTTTGGTTAGATAAATGGAGAATCCTTGGTGGTCCTGATTCGATAATGTTACGCTAAGTTTTGGATGATATTGTCCTAATAGCTTAAATTACATTTCTTGTGTTAAAATTCTTTCAGTATTTACTTTGTATGCATGTTTTGATTGTTAGAGTGGCTTGTAATGTTAATGTTTTTTCTACCAGTTTCTTTTGATTGATGTGGTGTTACCAGATTAAGTTTACATTCCTTGTATCACTCTTTTTTTTAAAAAAAAAAATATCCAAAGTAAATACTGCATTGTAAATGTTTCTTGTTCCATTTTGTTTGATTGATGCGCAGTTAACAGCTTAACTTTTACATCCCTGGAATATGCTTTTGAGTGATCAGTTTACAACTTTCATGTTGCGTTCGTTGCTGATTGGGATTTCTCAACAGGTACCTGAATTCCCTTCCAAGTTGTTTTTCTTCTGTGAAGTGGAGCCTGTGAGTGGAGGTGAAACTCCAATTGTTCTTAGCCATATTGTGTATGATAAAATGAGAGAGAGGCACCCAGAATTTGTTGAACAACTAGAGAAGCATGGTTTGATGTACATAAGGGTTTTAGGGGAAGGAGACAATCCTTCATCTCCAATTGGGCGAGGGTGGAAATCCACCTTCTTGACCGAAGACAAAACCGTAGCTGAAGAAAGGTTGGTAGTTTTTAACCTTAATATTTTTGTGTCGTGTTTCTGTCTTGACGATTTGCTGCACAAGAATGAGAGAACTCTTTTAGCATTAGATTTTGTGTTTTCTGCAAAATATTGGGATGACACCATCTATCTTAGTTTTCCTGTTTGACAACTGCTACGAATGGTGCGATTATATGATATGGGTCCGAGAAATCTTATTTATGCCATGGTTCTTGGTCTATGATTCAATTGGTATGGGTAAAAATAGGAATTGTGTTTGATCCTTACCGAGCTTAGTTACGGTCATGACTCATGAACGAGCTTATTGGTAAAACCAATCATGTCAGTATTCCCAGGATTTTCCTTCATTGTATATCACTCTTTGTAATTACATAATAATTGCATATTAAGAAATTATCTTGTGTCAAAAATATGGTTTAGTAGACGTGTAAATCATGTCCTTGTATTTCATCAACGGGCATTCTTTAACCATGGAAGGGACAAGATTGCATTCAGGCAGTGAGCAAAATACTATCCATGATTTACCAACTCCTTTATTGTATGGCATATCTGTCACATTAGAGTTTCTATATGAACCTGCTGAAAACATGAATTTTTTTTGAAGGGCTGCTAAACTGGGTATGAAGTTGGAATGGTTGGAAGACGGAGGAGTGAGAACAATCATGGGTCCAGTCCCAGGTATAAAACTTGACAAAGCAAGACAACGCAAGATTTGGTTTAATAGCATGGTGGCTGCATACACAGGCTGGGAAGATGAACGAAATGATCCTGTTAAGGCCGTGACCTTCGGAGATGGCCAGCCATTACCAGGTGATGTGGTCCATGATTGTCTCAGAATCTTGGAGGAGGAATCTGTGGCCATTCCTTGGCAAAAAGGTGATGTTCTGTTGCTGGATAATTGGGCTGTTCTTCATTCCCGAAGATCATTTACACCACCTCGCAGGGTTCTAGCTTCGCTTGTCAAGTAGTCTCGAAGCGTTTTGAGATTTGGGTTGGCTGCGTCACTCATAGAGAGATATATACTCGACTCGTTAGCAACACCACAACATTGGTCTTCCATATACTATGCTTAGTTGGTGGAAAAATATTGAGGGGAATAGAAATTAGAGCAAAGCTAGATGTAATATACTTTTATATAATTCATACCTATGCTTGGTGGTTTATGAGAAAAGTCGATTCATTTTTATATGTAAAGGAAAATTGAGGAAATGATAATATTCTTCATCGTTGCAAAATATTGCAGTATTCGATTTTTATTACTTTAATATACAAGAAAAATATTTGTAAAATGATCATAATGAAATATTAAGTACTTTTTTGGCCAGAAAAAAAGGAATATTAAGTACTTATTTTTCGCTTTTTATCCCCACGATGATTTAAATATTCGTAATAAAATTGAAGTGAACTGCAAGGATTTTCAAAACGAGAAGAAAGGGAGAGGAAAGCGTGAAGGCGTGGCATGCAAAATGGGGATAGGGTTTCAATTTTCAAGTTTCAATTTCAACTTGCCTTTTGTTCTTTTAATTTTTTTTTTGAAAAATAACGATTTAGGCTAGCCCAAATTCAAATAAATATGGCCTAAAATTCATGGTAATCTAAGCTAAAATACGTTAGGGAAAATGATAATTAAGAATCTCATAAATCATTAATTATAATTAAGGATCATGAATTATTAAAATTCCAATAATAAACTATGGTTTTTACTTAAAATTAAAAACATATAAGTTTAAAATAAAAACAAAGACACTATTATAATTACTATTATAAATTAGGACTATTACTAATCTTAGTTAGGAAAACTATAGATCACAATTGGGAATATGATTGTTTTTCGGTATGAAACTAAAATTTGTTTGTAAAACTTTCAGAAGGCACTTATAAATATATGATAATTGTAACACCCTAAAATTTTTGGATTGATTTTTCACAATTTATTAATTCAATAAATTATTTTTACTTCATTGAATCCTTACTATAGTAGAAATTTTTTTACTATAATAATAAATAACAAAACTTCTTTTAAAACTCTACTATAGTGGAAAAGAGTTTATCATACAAATAAAATATTTTACAAATAGCCTATCATAGTAGAAAGAATTTAACATAATGAATAAGTTCTATCATGATAATTCAAAATGTATTTATAATAAAATTTTATCTAATGAAAAATAATATAAAACAATTCATATAAAAAAAAATAATTTTTAAATCAACATTTGGTGTAAAAGCCTATCCTAAGGTGGTAGAATCCCAAACAATTCCCAAATATAAATTTTTAATATTGTTATGTGACCCAAGTGTATATTCAAGACAATATACCACAAGTCTTGTTTAAGTACTAACACTGCCTATATAACATTGGTTCAATAATACCTAAAACGGGTCTGCACAACATTTATCATAATCTAACACTTATCCTTAACAAATATAATTATAAGATGTACATTTGTTCATATTATAAATACCTTTTCACTCAATATTTAATGCTTCCAAGTAAAGTTTGTTATGTTAGTAACATAAAAAAAAACATAAGGGACAAATAGGATTCTTATGGCATGATTTTCAAATCAGGTCAAGGATGAAAAGGGATAGACACGATCTTCTTGGTCATAAAAATGCAGTTAATAAGAAGGATTAGAGGCTATATACTCTGTAAAATAAGATATGTCCTAAGTTAGCACCCAATACATTATATAATTTAAATAAGAGGCAACGTAAAAGGTGGCCTATCATAAACTAAAATTATGCCTCTGGTGCTCTCTCAGCCGTATTCGTTCTTGTAAAAATATTAATCACAGAGAATGAGACTTGAAAGTCCCAATAACTAAAAATTAATATATAATAATACATGTAGATGTAACTAATTATAAGTGGGCATACAAAAATATTTAACCAAATAATATTTCCAAACAAACCGAATAAATATTTAATTATATAACTACACCTTATATCATTCTTTTGCCATGCCTGGACATCAAATCACCCTGCCAAATATGAGTTGGACCAAGCTATACATTGGGTCTAATGAAGGCTTACTACATGATAATAATTAACCATATAGAAATTCCCAACAACGCTATATATTAAAATACCCTGATAAGTCATGCATCATTTAAAACAACTAAACAAGAATATAATCAAACAATAATATCTCATCATAATAAATAAATACAAATTTTTAACTCACTTGGCGATAATTCCAAACAAGTATATATCAGTATTTATTTTTAATAATTCATAATTTTTTCAAACAACAAAACAACACATAACTGATCACACACACACTCATCACAGCACATTAATAACGATTACCTTGTGTACTAAATAATAAGTTTCCCTTCACAACTCCTCTTTCACCACTCTATTTGTTAATATAATCTTCATAATTATTTCATAATACTATATATTAATTTTACATTAAAATTAATAAATAACTTTAATTTAAAGAGTTAGAAAGTTTTAGATCTAAGATTCATATTAACACTAATTTAAGGTTTGTGCCTCATTTAACTTTTTAAATTCCTCTCTAAAATTCTCATACCTTAATAAATTATATTTAAACTTCAAATCATTTATAGTATCACAATTTCATCATTCCATATTCTAAAAATTCATTTAAAAATAAATTAAAAATTCAAACATTACCCTCAAGCTTCAAATCACCATTCTACAGCCTTAGAAATATCTATTCATACTTAAATAATTATTTAATAATCAGAAGTTCTTTCCTACATCTCAGATTCAACATAAATTTAACTATGTAAATCTAAAGTCTAACTCAAAAATTTTTAAATTTGAGTTTTAACCTCAAAGAAATATTTTATAATATTTACTATATCCTTAATAACTTTACCATGTATTTTTAGTTCATCATAACATCAGATTAACTATCTATAAAAAAATTTTAATCAAAATATTTGCTATACTCTACAAAACAATCATATCATTGAAAAGCTAATATTATTTAAGAAATAACTATGAAATTAATTTTTTAAATAAATAATTTTTTTAATGTTAATTTAAATTAAAAAGTTGGAGCACATTTGAAGGGGGGAAAAAACAAACACTCCTTGCATGAGAGAAGATGAAACAACGAGAGAGAGAGAGAGAGAGAGAGAGAGAGAGAGAGAGAGAGAGAGAGAGAGAGATAATATAAAAGGATGAATATAGGTCTCACAATTACATTAAAAAAAACAACTAAAGATTTGAATAAATTATTCTCAACCAACCGAGGTATCCAAATTTGGTATAACTATAAACTATCTCTCTCTCTCTCTCATTCATACACATACATATATACAAAAATCAAATTAATAAATATCTCTTATATAACTTCAAGCCTAAATTTAATTTATAATTAAATATTTAACTATATTATTACTCTCAAATAACTTCAAATACAAATTTATTCCTTAATTTAAACATCAAAATAATATAAATTATTATTATTATTATTATTATTTTATCTTCAATGAGACATGAATTTCATAATTTTTTTATTATCTAAAAATTAGGGTGTTATGATAATCACTTAAAAATTTACTAAACTCACTTTTGAAAATGAAAACAATCATTTGTGAATTTTTATGCTTGTCAGTACATAGATAAACTACTTAAAAAATTAAAAAAAGATACTATTAAAATTACTATAATGAGTTGGAATTATTGTTAATTACAATTGAAAAAATTAGGATCTCAGTTGTTTTGAGTTGGAATCACTGAAATTATTATTATGGGTTGAAATTGTTGTTAATTTCATTTTCAAGCTTGGATCCTAGTTTTCACAACTAAGTTTAATAATAGTCCCAACTATAATAGTGAATTTAATAGTATCTTTTTTGATTTAAACTCATATGTTTTAATTTCAAGTAAGTACTATAATCCATTATTAAAATTTCAATAAATCAATAACTCTAATTGTAATTAATGGTCTTACTAGGGTTTTTAATTGTCATTTTCCCAAAACCTAATTATAAGAAATTTCATTTTTTTCCATACTAAGTGCTATAATTTTTTAAAATTTATTTAGGTTTAGCATGAATTACCAGATAAGAGAAATACAATAAAACATGGGTTATAAGAAAGGATGGATTAGAATGCATGTGAGAAAGGCTTTAGGCATAATAATGATGCCAATTCAAAAATTATAAAGTCTTTCTCAAGGTTGTGACGTGGTTTTAATGAAGGATGATTTAGAATGCATATAAAAAAGTAACGGATGGACAATAATAATGCCAATTCAAAAATTACTCAAGATGCACGGCATGCACAAAATTTAAGAGGTGAAAATCGTTACAACAAATATACTTCCTTTATTTTTTATTGTTAGAAAAATTATTATTATTTATTTATTATTTTATATAAATAAAATTACTTATTTTAATAAATATTTATTATACATTTTTTAAATCACATTTCATAATTTACATTAATTAAAATATTTATTATACATTTTTTACATTTTATAATTTATATTAATAAAAAATAATTAATACATATTTATATTGATTAATATAAAATTTTTATAATTTTTATTAATGAAAAATAATTAATACATACTTGTATTAATTAATATAAGATAATTTAATTTAATTTTTTAATTTTTAAATATAATTATTATAATTAACTGACTTTTTTAAATTATATGGTATGGTTTTTTTTATATATAAAAATAGAGGGGGTAATTGCCTAAGGTGCCAGGCAATCTCATGTTATTTTTCTTCTCATTCCTTTTCTACATTTTTTTCTTTTCTTTCTTAGGTTTCTATATTTTTTCCAACAATGTTTCTTTTTCCCTTTCTCCCTCTTTGCACTGAACAAAGCCGGCGCAATGGAAGACACCTTCATCAAAATCCAAATTCCACAGCAAAAGATTTACGACGGAATTCAATTCCCTTCCGTCTTGTCTCCGCCGCTGAGCTCTGCTTCTTCCTCGTCTCTGTCTCATCTCACTCACTCCATCTAATTGTACAGGCAATTCCTGGAACCGCTGCTTCTTCAATCAGGTGCCGTATTTCTCAGAGGACTCCCAGTCAACACAGCCTCCGATTTCAATGACGTTGTCGAAGCATTTGTCTACGAGGAGTTTCCGTTCGTGGGTGGCGCTGCTCCTCGAGCTAATGTCGTGGGTCGGGTTTTTACTGCTAATGAATCCCCACCTGACCAGAAGATTCATTTCCACCATGAAATGGCTCAGGTACGGTATACCTCTATCTTAGATTCAATATGGAAATCCCGTGTTGGGCTTGAAATGTTAATGTTTTCTCTTCCATTTGGTTTCGATCTATTAGGTGTTACCAGAACGAGTTTACATTTAGAGTCAAATTCTTTCTGAAGTTACGTCGTCCATACTGCAATGTCAATGTTTCTTGAACCATTTGTTTGATCTGATTGATACACAGTTAACAACATGAATTTACTTCCTTGGAGTGTGCTTTTGAACAAGTTTTCATTTTGTGTTTATTAATGATTGGGGTTTATCAACAGATACCTGAGTTCCCTTCCAAGTTGTTTTTCTTCTGCGAAGTGCTGCCTGTGAGTGGAGGTGAAACTCCAATTGTTCCCAGCCATGTTGTGTATGAGAAGATGAAGGAGAGGCACCCAGAATTTGTTGAACAGCTAGAGAAGCATGGTTTGATATACATAAGGGTTATAGGGGAAGAGGACAATCCTTTGTCTCCAATTGGGCGTGGGTGGAAATCCACCTTCTTGACCGAAGGCAAGACCGTAGCTGAAAAAAGGTTTGTAGATTTTGACTTTAATGTTATTGTGTCCGTCATGTTTCTGTCTTGTCACTTTAGTTGGAATGAAAGAGCTGATCAGAAGTCTGTTAGCATTTCATCTTCTGTTTTCTGAAAAACTTTGGGATGGCATCATCAAATCTCTGTTAGCCTATCTGACAGATTCAAGGATGATATAATATAGAAGTTATATACTTACAATAATTAACATTTCTTAAGAGTTAACATGGTCATTCTAGAAAAGGAAGAGACTTGAATTCTTGTGCCATAGTCCTGTGAAATAAGATTGCATTCAAGCAGGGAGAAAATATGATCCATGATGTACTAACTCTTCAATTTACGTTCATACCAGTATCCAAGTTATTTTGGCAAAAATATGAATTACTTCATATACAGGGCGGCCAAATTGGGAATGAAGTTGGAATGGTTGGAAGATGGAGGAGTGAAAACAATCATGGGTCCAATCCCAGGTATAAAGCAAGACAAGGCAAGACAACGCAAGATTTGGTTCAATAGCTTGGTGGCTGCATACGCAGGGTGGAAAGATGAACGAAACGATCCTGTGAAGGCTGTGACCTTCGGAGATGGCAAGCCATTACCAGGTGATGTAGTCCATGACTGTATCAGAGTCTTGGAGGAGGAATCTGTGGCCATTCCTTGGCAAAAGGGGAGGAATCTGTGGCGATTCCTTGGCAAAAGGATGATGTTTTGTTGATTGATAATCTGGCTGTCCTTCATTCTCGGAACACATTTACACCGCCTCGCAGGGTTCTAGCTTCTCTTGCAAAGTAATCCTGAAGTTTTCTGTGATCTGGCTCCCCCATGTTTGGCTGTGTCCATGAATGATAGTAACTATTTACTTTGGCTCGGAACTCATAGCAGCTATGAAGGAGTCTAATCTGGGTATCAATATTTGTTTCACCCTTCTTAGTTGCTGAAAAAAATTGTTAGGGGAGCGAACATACAAGAGCTGGAAAAGAAATAATCCTTGAAGTTGATGGAATGAAATTCTATATTTTGTTGTTGCAAGAGAAATTCTATAATATATGATATGCTTATTCTGAGAGAACTTTAGCTACTTATAACGATAATTTAGATTTTTAGTCATGTCCAAATATATTGGCCCTACTTTATACTCAATAACAGTCTACATAATTAAATCAAGTAATATCAATGGCTTTGAGTCATGAGTTTAAGTTTTCATTAGCCGGTAACTTTGGTGAGTGAATTTATATATATATATATATATATGAATGAATGAAGGGCATTTTGATTATTGATAATTAAAATTTAATTTCAGTTTAGTCGCTAATCTTACTTTAGCTCTCATTTGTTCTAATGATATTTATGAAAAAGATTAATGATATTTAGTCGCTAATATTTTTTTATGTTTTCTTAAAATAATAAATAGTACAAAGGTTGAGTAAACATTCGTTTTAATTGTAATTAAAATAATAATGGAATAATTATGTTAATTGATTTAATGATAAATTGAAGTGGAAATTATTCTTTATCAACTGATAATAATAAATCAATTTTAATTGAGTAAAACACTCTGAGCTCCTTTTATTTTATTTTAATTATATATATTTTTCCTTTCTATTTTTTTTGTGTGTTAATGATCTCCTTTCTATTTTTGAAACATATAAGAACTTTTCCTATTATGAATAATTATAAAACATACTTTTTATTTTTAAAATTTTATTTTCATTGATCCAGATGTTAATTAACTATTAAGTAATATATGTTGGACCAAAATATTCTTATTTAACTATAAACGTAGACTAAAAATTATTTAAATCACCCCAAAAAATTCATGCATATATATTTTTTACGTTTTTATTTATATTTTTAATTTTTTACTTAGGTAAATGTATTTATTTAGTAATTTTTAAAAAATTTTAACACGCAGTTAAAAAATTAATGAAATAAAATTTTAAATTATTTATTTAAATATTCACATAATTAATTATTTGAAGTTCTTGAATTGTGTCTCAGAGAGAGTATATAATTAGATCATAAGGGACAATTAATAATTTTAAATTTTTTAACATAATTACAAATAAAATTTAAGATTTTAGGAATAATTAATTAAATATTCCTAATAGTATTAAAAATTATATTGCAATGTATGTTTACAAAATAAAAAGAAGATTTTTATAATTTTAGCAAAATGGAAGGAATGTCATTCTATTTTATTTATTTTAATTACACACATATAAATAGATAGATAGATAGATAGATATATTTCATCAATTAAAAAATTTAAAATATTTTTAATCAAATTTTACCTCCTAATAAGATAATTATTTGTGTTTAAATTAATACTATTTTTTTTATATTTATCCCAATATAACGTGTCTCACTCTAAAACAACTATAAAATAATTATTTAATAGAGATAATTTTAAAAAAATATAATAATTATATATTAAAACATTAAAAATGTTTTAATGTTTTTAAATATATAATTTTTAAAAAACATTTTATATTTTTCATCAGAGGGAAGTATATATATTAAAATTGTCAAGACATTTGGTAGTTTTGCCGTCATCGGGACCGTAACTCATGGCAACCAGAACGGCCCGTTACCTTGGCCTAAAAAAACGGCCCGTTACAAAGAATTAGCTTTTGTTTCTCTCTCATAAACAAATAATGTGAAATGCCCTGTTACTAACTTCGTCTTAAATCATCGACAATGCAAATTATGGAGACTTTTTCTCTATTCTTAAAAACTGCTTTGTTGTTGCTCAAAACCTGCACTTAAATCAGTTAAAATTATTTAAATAGTCTCATAATCTAGTAGTCTATTCTTTTGTCACACCCCCAAATTCCAGTTCAGACTTTAGATAGTTTCAAATAATTAAGCATAATAATATTTAAATAAATATTTTAAAATCATTAAATTAGAAAAAAAATATTTTTTATCTGAAAAATTAAAAAATATTTACATAAAATAATTTTTATGTTAAATTGAAAGTTAAAATGTTGAAACAACGAATTAGAAATATTACTAAATAAATATTCATGATAAGCCAAAAAAAAAAAACGAAGAGAGAGAAGGAGGGGTAAAAAGGGTTTGCTTCCTCCAAACGTCATTCAGCAACGCTGGGTGACGCTATCATAACCTACCGCGCTAGCCGCCACAATTCAGCCTCCATTGATTCCATGTTCATCCTCCAGATCTGAAAGTCTCCAAGAGGGAAAAGCTCTACAGTTGACTCAAATTATCTGATCTTTCCGATTTCTGTTATCACAAACAGGTATGAAGTCTCTCGCTATGCTTCTATTTCTTCCTTTTACTTCTCAATTAGTGGATTTGTTTCTCTTTTATTTAGAGAAAACCGGGAGATTCAGATCTCCTTTGCACAAATCGATTTCTCAATACGCCGATCTATCATATGCGCTGAAGTTTAGACAATCTTTGTTTTTACTTCTTCCAATTGAATTTCTAACTCATTCATTTGTTTGTGACTTGCAATAATATGAAGAAACGAACTGGAGTGAAAATTTTGATTCCGGAATTGTGTTTCCTTATTAACCAGACCCTAGGGCTTTACCATTTCTTTTCCAAAGTGAATTATAAAACTTTTTTCTGGGAGAATTTTCGTTTTCCATCTGTATATCTGACCATGTTTTAGCTTGGATGCTTGATGATGAAAGAGAAACTTTATGATAGAGGAATTCTTAAACAAATTTTCTGATTTTGGAATTTTGTTTCTTTAATAACAATATCTTGTGGTTTGCCTTCAAAAAAATTGTAAAGCGAAATTCTTAGAGGAATTTTGTCGCTCAGTCCGTTGGTTCTTTTAGATAAATTGGTTTAAATCATCTCTGACCATGCTTGATGGTGAAAGATGAACCTTTTATGGTATAGCAGTTCAATGAATGTTCAACTAGAAGCGATGTATATGTCGGTGAATCACTGATGCATCTATTAATTTTTGTTGGTAGAGCTAGAGGTTGAGTGGGAAGTATGGTTTTGTATTATGGAAGCATGAAACGGATGAAGTCTGTATTTGGGTCTGATTTACAATGAATGTAGATTATTTTTGTCTTGCAATATTGCCATATGTATAGCGATTTCCCAATTTCATTATATGATGTACCTTAATTTTTGGATTTTTGCTGTTACGGTAGAACGTGAAAATGAGCCGAGCACGGGATCCACACAGATCTTTCTTCCCCTTTGGAAACCCTTTCCGAATGATATCACCTAAAGGATCTCAAATGTCTCCACAACTTCTTGGAATATTAAATTCTTTTGAGGCAACACTGGCAGAGAGGCTGAAGAAGCTTATGCCGAAAAACAAGGATGAAATTCTTAGTATATCTTGGATGACCCTGGCAATGGAATCACTTTGTGAAACTCATAATGATATAAAGAACCTTGCACTAGATATTGATCTCCCTGTGACTGATTGGGATGAAAAGTGGATTGATGTGTACTTAGACATTAGTGTGAAGTTGCTAGATATATGCATTGCATTTAGTTCCGAGCTCTCACGTCTGAACCAGGGGCATCTTTTGCTTCAGTGCGCGTTGCATAATTTGAACACTGCCTCGCCACAGCAGTTTGTTCGAGCATGTTCTTCAATAGATGGATGGAGGCAGCGTATTAATTCTAGCAATCCTAGGATTGAGAAATGTGGCACCATTTTAGATAATCTTTTGGGATCACTTGATTTGCCGAAGGTTAAGAATTCAGCTAAAGGGAAGGTTTTGATGCAAGCAATGTATGGAGTGAAGGTGGAGACAGCATTTCTATGCAGTGTGTTTGCTGCAGTTTTCTCAGGCTCTGCAGAAAAGTTGTTAGATTTAGATGTAGCTGACACATATTTGTGGGCTCAAGCTTTTACAAATTTGCAGCATAGTGTTAGATTTTCCAATGGAAGATTTGATGTATTGAAGGAGTTGGAAGAGGTCAATGCCTTTGTGAAGAAATTATACCCTATAATCCAGGGTGAACTAGATACCGTTGAGACAGAAGCGCTTCAGAAGACTGTTGAGGAAACGGGCAAGGCGGCAGAGAAGCTTTCACAAGGACTAGATCATCTTGCAAAGGAAGTGGATGGTTTTTTCCGAGTAGTCTTGTCTGGTCGTGATGCTTTGCTATCTTCTCTGAGGTCAGGTGCAACTTTCTACGACAGTATCTCTGGGGGTAAAATGGATGACCAGGGAGTCAATTGAGTGTGCTGGCAGCCTAACTCTGGTACATACTGATGGGCCTAGGTATGGCGTTTTCTGTTTTATGGTCTATTGTGGTTTTCAGGCTTGTGTTAGCTTATTGTATTTGTTGTAGGTTATGTGATGGTACCATTGCGGGGAAATGTATATGTAAGTGTAATTGTGTAATGTCAATATAAAATATGTGAAAAATGCTTCATGTGAACTTGCGAGCTGGTAACTCATGGTATAGGTTATTTCATAGTATCTTTGGATCTCTTTTGACCTGGAAATTTATCGACATTTTACATTTAGACAAATTTGCAAATATTGTTCAGTCTAGAACATAAAGTAATCTGCAGCATGCTTTAACGTGCCTGAAATTCGGTTGTAGTGTAACCTGATGTATCAAATAAGAAGAACGTAGTAACTGCCGAACAAAGTGGTTTTCCTCATCTCCTCTTGGGCACACTTTTCAGCCTTTATGGCGCTGAATGAATTCCTGAGATGGTGAAATAATTCACACTGACGGGAATCTCGTTGGCCAAGTTCTGCAACCTTGAATTTGAACCAATTCTCAATGGCTATAGGGGCCTATACGGTTGATGGTATTCCTGGAAGAGGTAGAGACTCTGGTGATTGCCTCTTGCTATTCAATCTGCATGGGTACACCCAGTGACCAATTAACTGTTTCAGAGACGGGGGAGGAGAAACAATGGTGCGGGAGGAGGGGCTAAACGCTGCAACGGATTTGGCTCGTCTCCAAGTGCTCCGGAAATAAGGTGCAGGTAGATAGAGATGATTGATGGAAACAAAGTGTATCTCGACGAGTAAAATTGATTATAAAAAAAATTATCAAATAGAGTTTCAGAATATTTTTTTATCATGTGGAGTTTCAAATAGCTTCTCCCATAATCAAGTTTGAGAGTCATAATGAATTATCAAATGAAATTTCAAAAAATGGGTCTTTAGGTTATTTTTTCCAAATGAAGTTTTAGAGTCATAATTAATTATGAAGGGATGAATGCATTAAAAAAAAAATAAAGTTAAAGAGACAAAAGAACCCCCCCCCCCTTTTTTTTATAGAAGAGAACCAGTTCCTGCACATCAATGATGATATCCCATATTTTCATCGTCGGATGACGCGCAGGTGAAAGCTTTATATATACTGAACATTTAACGAGATTGACAATTTCAGTACCACTTCGATAATTCTAACTCTATGATGAGTATGAGAAATATAGGGAAGTTTTTTGAATTTTCAGTTATATATAGACGTTTTTTAAATTTTAAAAACCTGCATTTTTTTTTGGGTGAAATGAAATATTTTTTAAAAAAATTGAAATTGTGTGAGAAATTTGTTGTCACTGATAAGTCTATTGTTTCACAAGTAGAAGTGTGACATGTCACAAATTCTGAGTAAGAAATTGATTACATGGGATGATACTATTTCAAAGAGAAATATGGAATGTGAACGGAAGAATATGTGTTGGTTAGTTTTCCGCATCAAAAGAAAGAAATCAAACTCGTTTTCATGTTGTTCTTACTAGTCAACGCTACATTCTAGAGTTCCTAAATTCCAATTCTAATATTTGACTTTGACTAAAGGTAATACAAAGGTCCAGTATGGACTTTGACTCCTGGGAAGATCAAATTTAAAATAAAATAAGGGAATGCTATTGTTACATCAATTTTTAATACATAACCCCATTGAGCTTTTACCTTATATGAATAATAATAAATGTGTTGATCAAGGAAATTAAAAATTAACAAAGGAAATAAATTCATCGATCTTTTTCTTTCATATTATTATTTTTTAAGGTACATAATCATGCATCGAATTAAACCAAAAGCATTTAATTTAGTAAACAAAATCTTTCAGATAAAGAGAAGTGAAAAAGAAACATCAAGTTAATTTCTTCACGAGCCACCCAAGCATTCCCGGTCCAAAAGCTTCCTTCAAAGTTTTCACACATACGCGTTCAGCTGTTCCCTCTCCCCAGAAACCCAAAAAGAAATGTCAAAATCCCTCCTTAAATCTACCAACAGGCCCTCTCCAAATTCAGCACCTCCTCTCCCGGTTTGGTTACTTTCCATCTGATATTTTGCTTTCTTAGGTTCTTCCCATTTCGAAATCGAACCTCTCACGCAGCGTTCTAAAGACATGTCTGCTGAATCACTCTCTGCTTCAGCTGAGCACAACATCAAAGGGTTGGCCACTTATGGTGGACGATACATTCAGTACAATGTGTACGGAAACCTATTTGAGGTTTCGAGAAAGTATGTTCCTCCTCTTCGGCCTGTGGGCAGAGGCGCTTACGGTATTGTTTGGTAAGAAATTTTGCAGCTTTCAAGTTTTGCATTGATTTAGTTTGTTTGGTGGGTTTTGCCGTGCTTTTGTTGATTTTGTGTGTTGATGGGTTTTATCATCTCTTTAAGGCATGTTTTTTTCTTTTTTTTTCTTTTGCTCTTCTGGATGTGAATTATGTGTGGACTTTGGAATTTGTGACTTTGAAAGCAAGAAAGTTCTTTCTTTTGGTAATTGAATTGTTTGTAAGTGGAGTTTGTTATTCGTAAAGGTGAAGACTTGTATATATGGACAGACTAGATTCTTGTTATTTACCTTATTGCCGATTCTAAACTCTTCTCATGGGGTTTTGCATGCATTATTTGGCGTTTCCTGTCATTGGCAATATCTAATTGTTTTTTAAGTAACGATCGAAGTGATTATCTTGGTGATGATGAACGCTATTTTCGAGCTTGCACCAAAAACTCGAATTGTTCATTTTCCTGAATAATGGTGGCCTTTAGATTTTTGTAAATTGTTACGCACGAAAAAAATTCCAAAGCTGAATCATTGTATATGTTATTTTTACTATGTAGCTGACGTTGAAGTTTTCACTATTTCTGACTATCTTTTGAGTTTGACTGGAATACGTTAATTTAGAAGTTACTCACCTTGGATTAAATTAACTATATATAGTTTGTGCATTAAGTATCATGCATTGGATAATCTAGGTATCTGGGTTCATTAATTTTTCTTAAATCAAAATGTGACAGAGGATTCAATGATTCTGAATTTCTGATGGTATTTCTGTGATCAGGTTATATAGAAACCATAAGCAGCACAATATTATCGAATTAAGGATCACTTATCTGTAAACAGCTTCCTATAATTTGGTGTTGAGTAAATAGTTGTTTCTCATGTATCATTTATGTGAGTTTTATTCTTTATTATCAACAATCTGAAGGCAATATTATTACAATTGTTATTGTTGTTGTTACTATTATTAACTAGATACATTTTTCTAATTTTCTTTAGTGCTGCTGTAAATGCTGAGACACGTGAGGAAGTTGCAATTAAGAAGGTTGGCAATGCATTTGACAACAGAATAGATGCCAAGAGGACCTTACGTGAAATTAAACTGCTTCGGCACATGGATCATGAAAATGTAATTTTGCCTAACTTTTCATTAGAATTGTCATAACTAAATTTTGTTTTCACATTATTGTTTATTTGGTCTTGATTTTGACTGATGAGAGATTGGCACTCTTCTTATGTAGCAGCATAGTAGTCCTGAGTATTTTTTAGTATAGTCCCCCCCCCCAAAACCATATTTTCACCCTTGTTTTCTTCGTCCATACGTATGCAGTCACGTCACACTAGTGATGGAGGACCCTTGCAATAAATTGGTAGCATATTTAAATATATTTCATGTTATAGGGACTAGTGATAGGATAATGAGCGTGTGATGGTTAGGATTTAAAGCATTGTTTTAGTGATTAATGTGCAGAGCCTGTACTTGATCTATTAATTTTCATGCCTAATCTAATTTCCAATTATAAATAGAAACATAGGGTAACTGGCTAACCAAGTCTGTCTTGAGATTTTCACACCAAGAAATTACTGTAATTCAACCTAAACTAGGATATATATATTTATATTTTATATCACAGACAAACATTTATATGCCTTTTGGAGGTGACAAGGAGACGTATTACTTCATGTACTTCTGCATTATATTATCATGTTTTTCAAAATCTCTTAATTCTTGCGCTTTGCCGAAAAAAGAAAAAGATGTACCTCTACATAACAAGTAGAGGGATGGTGTGTGTGTGTGTGTGTATTGGTGAGTAGTAATTGCTAATTGAACCCAATACCCCTTGCCAAATTTTGACCCTACCCAAGTGAGGTCGGCCGATGTAGTAGGCCATTGTAAATTTTAGTTAAGCTTTCAAATGATTTCTATAAACCATGGTGGAACCTTGTTTTGATATATTTGCATTAATCATTGTGTTTTTTTGTCGCATTTTCTTTTCTGACTTACAAGGTTGTCTTCTCACTTATTTCATATTCCGTTGTAGCCACAATTCTTCTTCTTTTGTTTTCAAACTATTATGTTCTGAATGCATTCCTTCCGTCACTTGAAGACTAAGAGTATGACCTGTGTTCTGGTCACATGCTACCTTTTTGCTTGGGTTAAAATCAGTTGATGTCTCTTGTAATAACTTTTAATTTACTCTTGAAAGATCTGCTTTTGTAGCAGCCTGATTACTTGAGAGATATTGCATAGTCAGGCTGTTATCACTAGATGTAAAATTACATCAAGAAATTACTTGAGAGGTTCACTTTTATCACAGAGTGATTATGGTAACATCTTTTTATTTACCTTTAAAGAAAACTTGACAAGTTGTCATTGTTAAGCTATATTTTTTCTTTGGTTCAGAAAATTCACTTTGATTTTTTCACACTCTCTCATTAATTTTCTTTAGAACTCAGCTTCCAAAGAACGGTGCTCACTGCTCAGCTAATTTTTCAATGCAGGTCATAGCCCTCAAAGACATCATTCGACCTCCACAGAAGGAGAATTTCAATGATGTATACATTGTATACGAGTTAATGGACACTGATCTGCACCAGATAATACGTTCCAATCAACCATTGACTGATGATCATTGTCGGGTTGGCACTTCAACAATTTCTCTTGGCTTATGAAATTTAACATGCACCTTTCTTTTCTGTCTGGAGTTTTCCCTCTTTGCTAAATAAATGTCTGCTTTGTTGCCTATATACTTTATTTTGTCCTTTAATGTCTTATGCGATGCATTTTCCTTCTTACAATCAGGCAATTGTGTATATATGTATACTCATGGTGCCATACAAGTTTAATTGTTCCTCTTCCCATAAAATTTCTGCATGCAGTTTCAATAAAAAGGCTTGTTCATGGACGATCTATAATTTTTAATTTTATGTCACATGTATAGCTGAAGCATGTTACTCAATTATCTCATTGGGGATTAATTTGTGGGTGTGCATTCCTTTTTCCTTTTCGCTTTTATGGTTTTGTGCAGAATATAGTAATTGTGTAGAATGTTGTGTGTAATATTTTTGGCCATGTATTCATGTGTATAATGCAAATAGTGCTTTTACAATTTACATGTAATCTTATTCTGAATTTTCTTCAACTTTGATTGAGTAATTGTGTATAATTATATATTTTTGTCTTATAGTCATTAATAAGATCTATTGCTTCAGTATTTTCTGTATCAGTTGTTACGAGGACTCAAATATGTACATTCAGCAAATGTTTTGCATCGTGATTTAAAGCCCAGCAATTTGCTCTTGAATGCCAATTGTGACCTCAAGATTGGAGACTTTGGGCTTGCCAGAACTACATCTGAAACTGATTTTATGACTGAGTATGTAGTTACTCGGTGGTACCGAGCTCCAGAATTGCTGCTCAATTGTTCGGAATATACTGCAGCCATCGACATATGGTCTGTTGGTTGCATCCTTGGTGAAATTATGACAAGACAACCCCTCTTCCCTGGCAAAGATTATGTACATCAGCTGAGACTAATCACAGAGGTATATGCCTGAAAACTTGAAATTTTTATGTTGAAACTGCTCAAAGTTAGAGTTGTGGTCGTGAAGTGTGGGTGTTGGAGTTTAGTAGAAAGTCCTCACTGCTGTAAGCTGGCTGGTTTATAAATTTTTTATCATTCACCTTGAGTTTGATCACATTTTTCTCAAGCCCTGTGGCTACAGGAATCAGGAAGGTCTTTTATTATTATTTTTTCTTTTTTAAAAAAATTGAAGTGCAATTGAGTACACAGGGAGGTCTAGGTGGGTATGGACATGGTCCATGTGACCATGTCTATAAACCTAAGCGCATGAACCCAAAATTTGAAATACAAGATTTCAAGTGTGATTTTGCATCTTTGGACATGCTACATTTGGATCATGCTCATACAAGATTTTCTAAACCAACCTACCATATTGGGAAATGATAATGACAAAATTCCTTATCTTTTCAAAGCTCATAGGTTCACCTGATGATGCTAGCCTTGGGTTTTTACGAAGTGATAATGCTCGTAGATATGTAAGACAGCTTCCACAATATCCCAGACGACATTTTTCTGCTAGATTTCCCCACATGTCTCCAGGTGCTGTTGATTTGCTGGAGAAGATGCTTGTCTTTGATCCTAACAGGCGCATTACAGGTAACTTGGCTCACAATAACGCATGTTTGTTTATTTTAATGGAGTTGGGGCTGCTGATTATTCCTGGCAGCTGTGTAGGACTCTAAGAGCGGGCAAGAAATTTGGTGGGTGGAGTTGTGAGACTAACAGCTTAGGCACCAGCTTTTTTTTCAGTGATTAGGCTGAGGGAAATGATTGAATTTCTTTGGAGTTGTGAACTTGGATGTGTGTGCCTCATAAGCAGTATGAGCGAACCTCAACTGTTATGTTTAAAACAAACTTACGAACAACCACATCAGACCAATTGCTAGTTCTTGCTTTCTTTTATTCCATTCAGGACTTTGTAGTTTTTTTTTTTAATAGACAGGACTTTTTAGTTAATCAATAGTTTTTTGATAGAAGGTTCCCTGTGCCTATCAGTTCTGGTGAAAACCTATTTGATGTGGTCTGTAGCTGTTGCCCACTAAGTTTTCTGTTAAGGCATACTAATTATGATGGATTCTTCTTTTTCTTGAAAGAATATGTTCATTGATAGCACCTTTATGCTTGTCATGCAGTTGATGAGGCTCTTTGCCATCCCTACTTGGCACCTCTCCATGATATAAATGGGGAACCCGTTTGCCCCAGACCTTTCAGTTTTGATTTTGAGCAGCCGTCATTTACTGAAGAAGACGTCAAGGAACTAATCTGGAGAGAATCTGTGAAGTTCAATCCTGATCCACCACAATTCTGAGACACTGTTGCATATGCTTGATGAAATACTTGACTGGTTCACAACACTATATGGAAAGTTTTCAGTCCTCCAGAAGGAAAGTTCTGAAAATGCATTGAAAGATGTTCGCAACTTAACAAGAGCTTGATGGAATCTTTTATTTATAACTCGTCTCACATTCTTGGATATATCCACTGTTGCCATGTTTTGTGGAAAAGCATCGAAGTTTGACCGCACTCTACTCTACCAGGCTGCTTGTACTGAAATCTCAGAGATGCCTCAGCAGAATATACACGAGGGCTCCTACTTATTCTCAGTGTCTGTCTGTCTTTCAGCTAAGAAAGACTAGGACCTCAAGTTATTGGAGTGATCTGATGCTGCCAGTTTTTGTATCCTTTACTTTAGATTGAGAAACATACACAAGAACGCTTTTCTTTTGTGGGGACAGACATGTAAATGTACTGGTGTGTGCTAATGTTTTGAATGTTTTCAGAAATTGTATGGTTTTCTCAGCTTATGAGTTTGGTCATTGTTTTTTTTCTGGAGTTAGAAGTAAAATTTGTTGGAGTTCTTGTTTTTATTAAACATTAATTTAAGAAAACTTTTTCTTTGTATTTCAAGCCTCAAGCTAGTTTATGTTGAACGAATTGAAGTAACATAATTGTCAAATTCATTCGTAGAATTGTATATTTTTGTTCCATGGATTAAATAAGTAAAGGCCGACTCAAATTGATGTTGATAACAGTGTTTCATAATTTGGATTGGTTTTGTTGGACGTAACTCATCTGAAAAAACCCGAGTTTAAGATAACTCGTTGCTAAGCTGGAGCAATATCTTTTGGTTAATCTGAAAGACTAACCTTACAAGGATAACCTACATTGACTGATATAAGTGGTTCATTTTAACATGCTAATCATGCAACTTTCAATCTATAGCTACACTTCTTGAACTCCAGCTCGTCAATGGGCGGGGTCTCCTTTGGAAAATCACACGCTGTGATCTTCTCCGGCCCCTGATCCGGCAACAAATCACAGGGCGGCGGCGTCACTCCGCTCGTGATGCCATTGATATCTGTGCACGTCCAGTGCTGCTTCTTGGCCTTGGCGGCCATCCCAATGGTGACGTTGGCCATACAAATTCCAGTAAAAGGGTCATTGGCAATGCCCTCCAACCTAGCAGCCATGCTCACATTCTCAGCCACCACATCTCTGTAGTTGATGTTCTTGATCTCAGGCAATGCATTGGGGTCATACTTCTTATCAGCATGAGAGCCATAGTTGCCAGTCATCCAGAACGCCCATTTCATGGTGTGCATCGTGAACTTCCGGACGTAGATGTCCCTCACGAACCCTCCTCTTCCTACAGCAGTTTTGATTCTGACTCCAGATTCTGTGTGGATGGCGGTGATGTCTTCGGCCCGGACGTCCTCGATGCCGCCGGACATTTCGCTTCCCAGGGCAATGGTGGCGCTGTAAGGGGAGATGCAGGTGAGCCTCCTGATGACGAGTTGTTTGGTGGGCCATCCGAACTGTATGCCATACTCGTCCCAGCCACTCTTGACGGCCACACAGTCATCTCCAGAAACTATGTAACAGTCTTCAATTCTGGTGTTGGTGCAAGAATCTGAGGCATCAACGTTTCAAGAAGAAGAGATTGATTTAAGTTATGATATGAGCATGATGATGATTGGGGAAGGTGATAACTGATAAATTTCACGGGGCTAATTAACCTGGGTTGATGCCATCAGTGTTGGGGGAGGTGACAGGAGCTAGAATGGTGATTCCTCGGACAACAATGTTACTGCTATAAACAGGATGGACATTCCAAGAGGGAGAGTTGAGGAGGGTGAGATTGGAGATTTGAATGTTGTCGGAGAACATGAGTTCGATGAGGTAGGGCCGGGTGTACTTGAGCTTGCCCTTGTGGAACTGCTGCCACCAGAATGCACCCTGACCGTCTATCGTCCCATTGTCCCCTGCCATCCAACGGCTCTCATTTCTTATTCTCAGATTGATATACAGAAGAATGAACAAAATTCCAAATCTAACATGACCTACCCATGTGTGCGAGAGATATCTTGAAGGAAGAATTCCAATCAGGTATCCAATAAAAAATTAATCATTTATTCAGTCCATTTACAAGTCATCAAACTTGCATATTTATATTTCCAAATCATCAACAGTACAGATGCATTGGTGATTGATGAATATGGAAAATGATGTTAAGGATAGTGTCAAGAAAGCAAGTGAGAAGTGGGAATGGAATTCAAACTATGGGGAGCAAGTGCACATGTTTGTTAAAAAGTGAGTACCAAACCTTGAAGTGATGCATAAAAATAAAAAAATATAGTGATTGATATTGCTTGCGGACACGTTGATTAAAAAAGATAAGGCGTGGAAATTAGGAGTAACGTGAATAGGATATACCGGTGATGATGACATCGGTGAGGTTGGTGCCGAAGACGAGGCTGCTGAACCTTCCGGCGGCGGCATCTCTCCCTCGTCCGTACGACGGGAGGGCCTTTAACACTGGCCACTCGTTTATGTCCTGATTCATCCTTCCGCGTTAATTACTTTCTTTCACCATCTCTAAGAACTATTTTTTCCAGCCTTAAATACTCGCATTCACTACCTAATAAAATAATACTCCCTCTACTTCTGGACATTTTTTATAAGCCATTGTTAATCCAAATATTTTTTTTATTTTTTGTCCTTTTTTTGTTACTATTTGTGGAGTAATTATGTGTAAAAAATAATTGTGAATATTAATTGTAGGTATGGACAAAACTGAAAAAATAAATTAATTTTTCATGAAATTTTAAAAAAATGAATTTCTTTTAATATACATGATGAATGTCAGAAGTATCTTAACATTATACTAAGGAAGGAGTAATAATAATATATATATATATATATATATATTTTTGGGAATGAAGTAGCAAGACAGAGCTTGAAAAGCAACAAAAACGCCTGGACCACCCTTTAGGCTACCAGCTAAGGTGTTGTTAATAATAATACAATTAAGAAACAAACAGTGAAGATCAATAACTATGTGCGAGATTTATTTGTTTTAAAAAAATGCTCGTATTGATTGTTTGACGTAATGAGTATGAATTTAATGATGCTAACTTTAAAAAGTAAAAAAAAAAAAAATCAATACATGCACAAGATAATAGATAATTGTTAAGAATGTAAAAATTTGTGAAATAATTATAATTGTAATGTAATTGCACGCCTTAAAAATATAAAAGCTTCTCTTGCTCTATGTGTGTGTGTGGGGAAAGAAATTCTGTAGTATAGAGGTACTACTGCTGCAAAGAGGAACCATAAACATGAATAGCTTTGAGAACAATTTAAAATAAAATTTATAGACTATCACATTATTCATTGATGAAAAATAATGGGGCTCTATTCTTTAAATTTCATGATACAGGAAATGCTACCTAATTTATTAATAATTAATAATTAATAATAACCCGTTCTAGTAGTTTTGGGAAAGAAATTAATTTTCAAAATTTTTGTAAATCCACTCTATAATTGCAATTAGACTGCATGCTCCTTATTTTACATAAAATTTAAAATTCACATGTTATGATTTACGATTATTTTCACTTCTCATAAATCCTATAAAAAAAATAGATATGTGTATACACATGCACTTTTTTCCGTTGAAAAAAAATTATGTTAAAAAGAATATATGTAAGTTACCGTTTAGGGAAAAAAAATTGATAGTCCTTTTTATAAGATATTCCGTATAAAAAAAACAGATTATTCATTATTTTTAAAATGTATTTTTTTAATTTTCTATGAATATGAGTATTAATATTATGGGAGAAATTATTTTTAAAAATAATACATTTTAAAAAATCAATTGAAATTTTTTACATCAGATAATATAATAATTTATTTATTAATCTTATTTGATATATAGTGTTTGTATAATACAAGAATCTCTTAACAATGATTCAAAACTAGGGTTCTTCACAAGTGGGGGGGAAAAAAAAAAGCCCGTACCAGCTAAGTATGTAATTAGTTTTCATTTTTCATTTGACAAAACACATTTAAAAGATTCAATTATTTGTTAAATTTAATAAAAAAACACATATTAGATAAGGTTTGCATGTACTTTTAAAAATTATTCAAACAGGACTTAAATCTAACAAAGTTGGTCGAGTACCTCGCTCATCAAGCCAATCACGGGGACTGCGACAACGAATCCCCCTTGGATACGCAGAAATTTTTTTTTTTTTTTTTTTTTAAAAATTGATAAACTCATCTTCCGACATTAATTATAGGATGTCCTACACGATTTGCAACCCGTGAGTCCCCTGCAAACGTCAATTTTTATCCACATATGTGCAACGACGGAATCATCCCTCGTATCAAATATTCTCCATCGAAAAACTTGAAAAACTGAAAACCGGACCTCGTTCAACCAAAAAAACAGAGTACAGACCCAGAGATACATACCTGAGAAGCCAGAAGAACAGCGTCCCTGTGAAGATAAAGCGTGAAGTGGCTGATGAGGCTGAAGCTGCCGGTGAGCCATTTCCCCGGCGGAACGTACAGCTGAGCCCCTCCTTCGATGCGTACTTGCTCAGTTCGCTTATCGCAGTCTGAAATGCCTTCGTGTTCGATGTCTTCCCGTCTCCCACCCCTCCGTAGTCGCTCAACGATGCACTGTGCGCTCTGCAATTTATCGCCGCGTACTCGAACGACGTCGTCGTCACGTCCCTCGCCTTCCTGCTCTCTCCCCTCTCTGAACTCGCCAACGCCACCACTATCAGAGCCACAACTATTTTCCCAACCACCTGCAAAGACACAGCATCTATACAGCACCAAGAAAGACAGGGGAAAAAACAGAGCATTTATGAGAAGAGATTATTGTTCGGTAAGGAGACGGGGCTTGATTACCTGCATCATCTTGAGAGGAAAAGCTATCTGATCTGAGTTCGGTTCTGTTGTGTGCGTGAGAGAGAGAAGGGAAGTGGGCTATTATTTATAGGGGAAAGTGGAGATGTTTTGAGTTGCAGTTACCAAGTTAATGGACAACTAAAGGCTAAAAGTTAAAAAAGCTTTTCCCCGGACTGCAAGGTCTAATTGCTAATGATTATGCAAATATTGAACTTTAGATGCCACTTAAGATTATTTTCGTTACGTGCCCCTCAAGATGGATGAAATCCTACTGTTCCCCCTTTTTTAATTTTTACTATCAGTTGTTTCTAGGAATATAAAAAGACACAAGAAATTGGCTACTTGTCTAGGTTGATCTGTTGTGACTAGCTCCGTTTTGCCTTGTCTGTTGTATTAAGCAATGAGGTGTCCTTTAAAAATATTATTTTAAGAAAAAATTGTATAGGCTGATAGACATAACAGACAGCATTCAGATACTTTCATTTATAAAAAAAAAAATTAAAATTTTTACACCTTTTTGTTTATATAATAGTATTTGGCTTCTCTATATTTTAATTCAATTGTCTTTTAATTATTTTTCTGTATGTTCTCTTTTTTTTTCTTTAATATTATAAGGCACTTTTTAGAAATATTATGTAAAAAAAAAGATATTTTAAATCTTTTAATATATATTTAATAAAATTTTATAATTATACGCTCTAAAGATAAAGATTAAGAGAATGCAATTGCTGTTTCCAGATATGACAAAGAAATAATTATGGGATGATTCAAAGAGGAATTATATGCCGAAAGAAATAGAGTTAATTACAGTAGAGTGCAAGTCTTGTTTTAGTTTGTGTGCGCAATTTTTTTCTTCAGACCCATGAGTGATGCTTCTAATTTTCCCTTTATTTTACTTTGAAGGTTGGATTAGGCAGCGTTCGAATGTTTTTGAATTAGACGTAAATTTATCTGCAAAATTCAATTCTTCCATGTCTTCACTAATTGTAATTGATCAGCCATTTCCTTTCTCAGTGGCTCAATTATTCCCCATAAGCAACGGTTTATTGTCCCCCACCTTAGAAAGTGTTGCTTACATAATAATGAATCATAAATTATTCACAGGACGTGCTGTATTGTCTAAAAGATTAATTACATAATTAAAATGTTTAAATTTAAAATTAATTATAAAATATTATTGAAAAAATGTGCGAATAAAGCTTATTCTAAAGTCATAGATTGGACCAGAGTAGGTAGATGATGAACCTAAAATTAGATGGGGAGGTTAGTTAATGTTGGTTTGGAGTTTCAAACCAATACTATATATTGTCGTTGATTTTCTAAAAATGTCACGGCACATTTTGATTGGAACTAAATAAAAAAAAAAAAAAACAACTCCCTCCACCCCATTTTTATTATTAAAAAATGTGTGAAATTAATTTCAGTGAAATGAATACTAATAAAATTAATTAAACACAATTTAAAATCTCAGTACATGTTAGGTCATTGTTTTTAAGAAGTTAAAACTTAAAAGTCTTTTTAATTAAAAAAAATTCCTTTTCAGTTAGACATGTCTGGTTATCATGTTTTTTTTTTCTCCCAAAGCAAAGCAAAGCACATCTTACTTATTGAGAGTTAAGGCTATATTTGGTAGAGTGAAATCACAAGCATGGAAAGGAAATTGAAGCTAGAATCATAAAACAATGATGTTCAGTACATGTAAATTTAAATTCTCAAGAATTTTGATTTAAGCTAAAAAGGTTGAATTGAATTTTTTTGATGGGAGCTATGGAATTGAAACAATTTTATATAATTGTATTTTTTAAAAACAATGTTTCCTCATATAAAAATAGAAAAGACAATTGTGCTCTTGTTCATTTGTGATTAATACTAGAAGAATTGAGCATGCAAACAATCACATAGTGAACAATTGAAAATGCTCAACTCATGCTTTTATATATATATATATATAAATGTCCAATTCAAAATGCCCAACTCGGACAATTCAAATTTATATATATATATATATATATATTATATATATATATGTATATATTTGTTTATATATAATTTATATATTTATAATATTGTTTTAAAAAAGTATTTTACTTATTTTTAATATTCATCATCTATATAATATTTCATTTGTATATAAATAGTATATGAGAAATTAAATCACAATATTAATACATTTTAATTTTGATTTTAATTTTTAGGGGTATTTTTATCTTTTAAATATAATTTCATTTCTATATCTTACATACTAAACAAAAATAATATAAGGATTCCATCTATTTTTTCTAATATACCAAATATATTTTTAAAATTCAATTCTGTTTCAATTCTGATTCTGATTTCATCAAAAATTATTAAGTCGTATCAAATGGGACCTAAGTTTTGAGATGTTTGATAAAAAAAATGCTCTATGATCCGAAGTCTTTTTAAAAAACCAAATAGATTCTTAATGTCTGAAAAAGCATAAACTTCTAAAAATATCGTCATTTAACAAAGGCGGTCATAGAAAGGAAAATAGGTAAGGAGTGAAATGATTAAGAATGATTTTGGTATAAGTTTTATTTATGAATCATTTTTTTGCAAATATCACATTGCTAAAAAAAAAAGTCTTATAAAATGAAGTAGATGGAGCATTGCAAAAATGAAATTGTTATTTGTTTATAATGGTTTATTTAAATAATAATCAACATATAGGAGATCGAGGAAGAAGTGAATGTGCATGACAGACTTTATTAATGATAATGGGTGATTAATTATGTTGATGGAAGGAAATCATGTTCTCAGTGGTTTTATTGATATAAACATGTGTGCTGTTGTAGGAAGTACTATTTTCAATTGGGGTTAACAGTATCGGGATTTCAGGGGGAATAATAAATTAGATTGACGATGATGAAATGAGTGATGTGAAAAAAATAAGGAGGGACGATAAAGCAGTAAAGAAAGTTGAAGTTGATAGTATTCACTTCAAAAGAATCCTCTCAACCTAACCAGCAAGTCCAAGATACTGATGAGTGATGGCCCATGAGGGAGAGGGATGGCTACGTTTTACTGTTGGAGGGTAGTCGGGGGAATGTACAAGGAGTTTGATGGGGCCCAAGTGGGTCCCACCGTTCACTTTTATTTCCGGGACATGGCGTGCCCTTTGCAATCTCGCGAGCACTCTCTCACGCCCCTCCCCACCATCGCCGCCCCACTTCTTCACGGGCTTTCCTCCGCCATCTGCGTTCTCCAAAAACTTATTTTCATTTACAAAATATTTGAGACAATTTTTTATGTATTTTAAGAAAATTTATTTTGTTTTTTTATTTATTAAAAATATCCAAAATTTTCAATTATGTTCTTATTAATTAAAGAAAAACAATGTCGCGTTATTATTTCCAAAAATGGAAGATTGTTTCACTTTTTTTATTTGACATCTTATAATCAGGATCACTTTTTATATTTGTGAAATTTCTTACAAGCAAGACATAAGTAGTTTTGTAGCTAATGGAACTGTTGACGTGCTCGCAAAAGCAACCGCTTTTATGTGTTATTGGGTTTCATGTGGCTTCCACTTCCCTCCTGGTTTAGCTTTAATTTAATTTTGTAGCATGATATTAATATTGCTGTTTAATTTTTCTCTTGTTTTATATATATATATATATATATATAAGATATGAGTCATATCTTTTAAACCATTTGCATTTGCATTGTATTTAGGTTTAAATCAAAACGTCACCCCAAAATCATTGAAAGAAAAAAAAAATTAAAATAATATTTTTAAATTAAGACAAGACTCGACTCTTTTGCAAAAGGAGTCAAGCCACTTGCATACTCAACTTGATCCTCAATACTTAAAATGATTGGGTATGGAAGATCGTTGAGTAAATATGAGATCATTATCTAACATGTAGCGAATCTTGCAAGGTCATGTTGAGTGCTCACAAATATTTTACATGCGAGCTTCAAATTCTTCAAGCATAATGGTCTTTGATGAACGATTATAAAAGGGACTCAAATTAATGACATAACAAGAACAACAGCTTACACTAGAAACCACCTCAAATTCATTTTTCTAAATAATGTGCTGGTATTTCATATTTAGATTCAGGTTTATTTTCAATGCACAAGTTATAATCACTGTGACTTTGTACTTTATTTTCTATTAATCAAAACACCTTTCACACTAATATCTTTACATTCTTGCGTCTGAATGAATTAAGGTAAGGTAGCTCAAAAATTCTGTAGTTAATTTTCAGGCTCCATATTTCTAGCACACTTGGTTTTAATGTTCAAACATAACATTCAACTTGTGAAAAATATGTTGAAAACTAATCATGTTGATTTCACGCATTTATGTGACAATCACTGGAGATGGGATAACTATGTTCTATAATCACGAAGGAATAGAGCAGCTAATCTCAACAAATATCTCATGTGATACTGGAGATAATATATATAAAAAAATTTAAAATTAAAATTAGGAGACACTTTAAAATACTTCTTCCGTTTTATTACAGGGTGCCTACTAAAATGATTTTCTGATCCTTAATATAAAGCACTAAATAAATTATTAATTATAGCATAATTTTTTAAGATTGTCCTTATTTAAACATTTATAAGAAAGAATGTAATACAAATTTTAAAAATTATTATTTAACTAATAGTAAAATTAAAAGTTTATTATATTTTCATGTAAATTAATGATTTAACCATTTGTTTCTGATTCTCATGAGATAGTTAGATCTGCCTTATACTCTCCCTATAAAAAATATAAGGCATTTTAATAAAATCTCACTTTTAATAAAGTAGTTAATTATCTTGAAACTAATATTATCTTTCCATTTATATCCGTATTTAACATGATATTCCACTCTAAAATGAATATAAAGTGTTTTGTTCATTAAAGATATGGTAAACCCAAAAAAAAAAAAGAATAAGAAGCAATGAGTACTCTTTAAAATATTAAAAATATTTTATATTTTTTAACAATCAACCTCTTAAAAATAAGTTACATTTTTGAATCAAGAAAATAATAAAAATTAAAGGGAGTGGGTAAACTTGCCAAATGGCTCATTGCACCGATGAATAATTATTAGTATCTTAATATTTAGTATTTATTATTTACAAATAATAATATAATTTATCAAATTTTTATATTAATAATTATAGAAG